GGAGGACCTAGCTGCCAGGGATTCCACCCTCGCCGGGCAGGCTGCTCAAATCGAACAACTCCTCAAGGATGCCGAGTTGGCTAAGGTCAGCGCTGAAAAGCTAAGTGCTGCACTTGCCGACGCTGAGGGGAGGATCACAGAGCAGACGCAGCGGCTCTCTGCGGCGGAGGAGAGGGCTGTTGGTTCAGAGAAAAGCTGTCTGGCTCTGACCCAGGAGCTGGACAGGATCAGGGCCGAGGCACAGGACATAAAGTCCGAGGAACAACTCCGAGAAGAGTTCGCCGATGACGTGCTCCTCGCTCTTGAAGAAAATAGCAAGGAGTCCTTCAAGAAGGGGTGGGACGAGGCGCTCCAGTCTGCTGGGATCCCGTCAGACTCCCCGCTCTTCCAGATGCACAAATACTTGCCCTCGGCTGAGATGGAACAGGCCGAAGCCGAGATTGCTTCCGAGGGCGAGATTCCAACGCCGGTGCAAGTTTCGGCGGATCTGCCTGAGGCGGTGATAGTGGATTTGTCTGATGAGGCCCTGCCGGACTAGGCCCCCGATCATAATATTCCTCAGGGTCTCTCTGTTGCCGAAGTACCTCTCGCTCTGCCTGCTCCCGAAGCTGCTCAACCTTTCTATGTCGATTCGGCCTCGGCGGATGTTTTGGAGATGCCCGGGGCAAGATGAAAAACTTTTTTCTTTTCGATTGTACTTTTCTCTCTTTTTTTTTTGTAGCTCTTGGGGACGCAAAGCCCCTCTTTTTGAAATAAAGCTTTTGAGTACTTAATACTTTCTTGCGTACACTTTTTTGCGTAGGATTCCTTGAACTGTCTTCAGGGCCTTGCCCTTTCAAGAGGCTTGCTCTCGTGGTTGTTTCGGGGGCAAGAGTCCTCGAATTCTATCCCCAGGGTCTTGCCCTTCCAGGAGGCCTGCTCCTGTGTTTGCTTCAGGGGCAGGAGTCCTTGAACTCTGTCCCCAGGGCCTTGCCCTTCCAGGAGGCTTGCTCCTGTGTTTGCTTCGGGGGCAGGAGTCCTTGAACTCTGCCCCCAGGGCCTTGCCCTTCCAGGAGGCTTGCTCCTGTGTTTGTTTCGAAGGCAGGCACTGAGGGAGATAATACTCAAAAATAATATTTCTTTAGATTCATCACATTCCACAGTCGTATTACAAGTTTTCCATCCATATCTTTTAATCTATATGACCCGACGCCTCCGATAGATATCACTTTGTAAGGCCCTTCCCAGTTAGGTCCCATTTTCCCTCCTGTTGGGTCACGGGTATTGGCCGTTACCCTTCTGAGGACCAGATCGCCAATTCGGAATTCTCGCGCCTTGACCCTTTTGTTGTACAGTTGGGAAATCTTTTCCTGATACTTTGTTATTCTCAAGGCGGCTGTCTCCCTTCTTTCTTCCACTAGATCCAAATCCAGTCCAAGTTGACGGTCATTTCCCCCTGCGTCGAAAGCTTGGGTCCTTATGGTCGGGAGCCCTACCTCGAGAGGTATGATTGCTTCCATTCCGTAAGTCAGGGAGTATGGGGTTTCTCCTGTCGAGGACCGAGGGGTGGTCCTGTACACTCACAAAATGTTTAATAGCTCATCTGCCCATTTTCCCTTGGCTTTCTCCAACCTCTTCTTGATTCCATTGATAATTGTTTTGTTGGAGGCCTCTGCCTGCCCATTGGCTTGGGGGTAGGCACGGGTGGAGTAAAAATTACGGATTCCGAGTTGCTCGCAGAAAAACTTGAAACTCCCGCCGGTGAATTGAGTCCCGTTATCTGACACCAGTGCCCGGGAAATCTCGAATTTGATGACTATATTCTCTCAGACGAACTTTTTAGCATCTATGTCACGGATGTGAGTCAACGGCTCCGCCTCAACCCACTTGGTGAAATAATCTGTGGCCACAATGAGGAACTTCTTGTTTCCAGGAGCCTTAGGCAGGGGTCCAACTAAATTGAGTCCCCACTGGGCGAACGGCTGGTCAGGGGGTGCAACTCCCCCGCGGGTTGCCTGATTGTAGGGGAGAACTTCTGACATTGGTCGCATTTCTGGACGTATGCACGCGCATCCCTTTGCATTCGCGGCCACCAATATCCCTGAGACATGATGCGGTGTGCTATCGATCGCCCCCCAGAGTGCCCCCTGCATATTCCTTCGTACACCTCATAGAGAAGGTCTTCCACCTGGTCCTCTTGAACGCATAATAAGTACGGTCCTGAAAAAGACCTCCGATACAGCTTCTGATCCGGAGAGACCCAAAATCTCGGGGCTTTGAGTTTTATCTTCCTTGTTTCCCTTGGACACTCCGGGAGGTCTCCTGTTGTTAGGAACTTGATAAAGGGATCAATCCAGCTGGGCGGCTTGTGTGCTTCTTGGGCGGTCATTGCCTCGGGAGCATGGTCTATGCAGGATACGGGAAGATATTCTATGGTGATCCTGCGCGACTGAGAGGACTCCACTGCCGAGGCTAGACAAGCCAGGGCGTGTTCTTCTCAGGGCGTCGGCACGCCCTGAGACCCGAAGGAACCGACGTACTTATCTTCCTTGTTTCCCGAGCAGGGACGTCTGCACAAACAAAAAAGGAGTCATGAACATAGAAAATCTCAAAGAACAAAATAATAAACCCGAAGGAACCGACGTACTTGTCGTTCTCCATTCCAAAGGGCATAACAAGTCGTTCTACTCGGGACCGACACCTCTCTGCCAAGATCCCTTGAAAATAAGTATGTCATCCTTGTACCTCTTGTCCGAGTCGGGAAGGTGAGTTACGAGGTACATAGATGAGTCTCTGGCTTTGAGGTAGAAGTGTTGTTGAAACATGACTCTCAAGAGGGAATAGCAAAAAAGGATATCATTCAGTCCAACATTCACCCCGAGACGCCTATTAAGCTCTAGAACTTCCATAATTATCCTGAAGACATTAAGGCTACACTGCCCGAGGAAAAGGTGAAAATGGGAGAGGAACTGGAGAAGCAGAGGGGGCAAAGGGAATCTAATTCCGCCTTCTATGATGGCTTTGGTATAAACGGGCATTGCACTATCGGTGCCGAGGGCACGAGGGTGCACAGCCGGGTTATAATCTTCTATGTCTACATACTGTGGGATGTTGTACTTGACCTTAAACCTATTAATTTGTTCACTACCCTTTACTTTATATTTCCCTGACCCCGAAGAACTGGCCTGAGGATTCTCGGGGGCAGGGCAACGACGAGGCATCTCGAAGAAAGTGAGAAAGTGGAGGAGGTTTTTTCCTTGAAGGTCCCCAAGGAAGCTTCCCGAGGATTGGTCGCTAAGTGGCAACCAGAGACACCTCCAGTTATCGGAAAACCAAAAAGAACAGAAGGACGAAGAGAGGAAAGATACTGGGACTCACCAGAATGTAAAAAGAAATTTTTTCTGGAAAATTTAAAGCGACTCCTTCCAGAATGTTTCAAAAGCAAGGATGGGTCTACTGGCCGTAAAACTCCGGTGAAATGGTTGGACAGTTGACAACGGAAGGAAAGGGATCTCCGGCGAAGTCTCCGGCGAAGTCTCCGGCAAGGGCTCTGTGAAGAAAAGTTCAGAACGATGAAATGAGAAAAAGAGAGGAAGCCCATTTATATATAGCACCTATCCCATCATTGGGCGCGAAGCACGAAAAGGCGCATTTAATGCGCATGACGTCCTAAGTAGGGGAAAGTGGCTAGAAGCAATGATGAAGCAGTTGGGGTTGTTGTAAAACCCTTCGTCTCCTTACAACGCGTGTCCTCGGCGTCAGAAGATCGAAGGCTGGGGGGCAATTGATGGGACATTTCCGAAATACTCCGAGATGAAGACATGTGTCCTCGGTGTCATTAATCCTTGTTACCGAGATCACGTACCCATCAGGTCACAAGTCCCCTCTCCCCCGAGGTACTGATCATGGGGATCAAGTGGCATCCAGTACATTTATATGTACCAACACGTACCCTCGGTCTGATATGGTACATTGGTCGCTAGGTCTCCCCCTCTCGGGATTCAAGATGTACCTATTCCTCGGCTCCGATATGCACCTATTTCTCGGCTCCGAGATGTACCTCTTCCTCGGTACCGAGATGTACCCCCCTCATCCAGGATGAAGTTCCCTACTCCAGCAGAGGCTATTGATGCACTGGTCACTAGCCTAGGCTAGGCTAGATTAGCTATCATGACCTCGTCTTACTCAATTGGTGTCAGAAGGCACAGGAAGGCAGGGGTCACAGGCAATGAGGAATGGACGCGTGGCATATTGTGTCACATCAGAGACAGAAAGACCGCATGACCTTGCTGACACGCGACTTGGGAAAACAAGCATTTAATTACAATATTCCCTTTATGAGACTGCATTCAATGCGGTAAGGCTCGGAAGTGAAAGACAATAAATGTCTCTAAGGCTGGGCATTTATTGCATCCTCCCCGAGAGGAGCTCATTGAACCGTCGGCAGACCGATGACACAGTCTTAATTGCTCTGGATCCCGAGCAGTTAAGAGAGAAGACATTCCTCATAGGAATCAGTGTGCACGTTACCTGTATCTAATGATCACCTACTGACCACACTGACAGCAATCATGAGTATTTGAGGTATAAATACTCCTCACTAAAGGCAAGGAAAAGGAGGTGAAACTTTCGCTACAAATTATACTCAGTGTTTTCTTCTTCCTCTCTCTCAAAAACTGACTTGATCGTCGGAGGGGATACACCGAAAAACACTCCGGCGCCCTTCTAACTTGTTCTTCTTTATTCCGGGAACCTTTCTTTAGCCTTACTGGATCGTTCCTTTGATCCGCGAGGATCTCCCATTACCGTTCCAGGTTACCACCGGATCTAACAGGTTGTTCCAAACAGCGTGGTTGACCACTCAACTGACTCACTCGAGTTCACCAAGGGAGAGATCTGTTCTCGTTTTTATATTGTGCAAGATCTAGCACGCACAGAAAGAATGTAAAAATATTTTGTTACTATTTAAAAAACGCCTATCCTTGATCTAGGTGTAATGTGTTGTACACTGATGTTTACATTCAGTCTAGAATTACAAAGGCAAGATACCCGTATAGAATCCGAAGGTTCAGAGCCAGACAAAGCAGCCTTTCTAGCAGCAGCAAGGCTCTCAACTTCATCTGCAGAACACCGGAAATAAATAATTACATGGTGAAAGAAAAGCACATGAGCATCAAATTGACAACCTTGGTAATGATAATTCTCACCAATCAAAACAAATACCAGATTATTTTCTTCCTCCACCATTTCTTGAATTTTTTGAAAAAGCTTTGCAACCTAAAATTAAGAAAACAAATGAAACCACAAGCCCAGTGTGCCCAGTGTAGTAACAGAAGTGACAAACTGCAAAAGCTAACATACTAATCCTATAATTCAACCCAAAGCGAACACCACCAAGTCAGGGAAGGAAAATTATAAGGTCGATATACAGTTCACGTGGTCGCTGTTGGTACAAGCTTCAACCCCAACTGCTGAAACAAAATTCAGATCAGCATATGGGCTATTGACTAACTTCTTGGTATTTTCATTCATGCAGGACATCCTTCCCACAAGTTTGACATCCTCTCAAATAATCTGAAAATCGATGTAGTCCTAAAAATACAGGGTAATATAATGATTCAAATGACAGCTGGAAATAGCAAAGAATTTGCTTGGTGGGCTGGTATTGTTTAGTGACAAGATGTGGGTGGGGCATACCAACTGAGTTGATCATTTTAGATGAAAGTAAAAGGCACCTCTCCTCAAATGAATCTCAGGCCATGACTTCACCTTGATTAGGTTCTACACAGACGACCCCTAAAATACATAGGTATACTTTCCTTTACAGTTTTTTCTGCATTATGACTAAGGATATTGCTATCAGCCTATCACTATTACCCTTGCTATTTTTATTTCAGTTATTTAGTTGATGTCAGATCACTTGAATTGTTCAGAATTCCCCTTGCAAGCTTTTCAGAAGAACTAGAGCTTCAGTTTAGACATTTGGTGCAAAGAAATTGGTTATTCCAAGTTGCAAAGGCGGTCAAAAATAAGTTTTGTGATGTACATACTGCTTCAAAAAAGTCATTTCTCACGAGAAATCATTCTTGGGGGCATGTGACGTCACTGATCCTCTTAGCCAACTACAATACAACCAATTGTGGTTATTCGACAAAGATATCATACACAATTTTTTATACTTGGAAAGAGGGTGTACCACTTCATTTTATTAATCTAAAGAGTCAGTCCATGTCCAGATATGTAGTAGAAAATGGTGGTATCCTTACATAAACTGCACACCATCAAAAGAGTCAGTTTACATCCAGATTTTGTAGGAAGTTGGCACACTCAGACTTGAGCATTCAATAAAACATCCACGTTATTGTTTGGCAAACATTTCAACCACATGATGGACCATTATCACAATATGAAGGTTTACTGATGATATGTCTTATGCTTCGATCTACTCTCTTCTAGATGTTAGTCTCCAGCCAAAACATAATACCCCATCCAAAAAATAAAAAAAAGGCAGCCCAACGCACAAGACACCCGCCAATGTGAAGTCTAGGGAAGGTCAAGTATGGAAACCTGATCAGGCGTAGGTCAATTAGGTACTGAAGATTGAAGAACTATCGAACAAGATAAATTTAAATTTTACTCATAAGCTTTATAATGTGCACTAGTGTGCAAAAATAACAACTAAAATAAATTGCAGTATTATTGTACTTACCAACTTTCCACTTTCAGAAAACCATTTACTGAACAAAGAATGCGCATTTACTTCAACCAATTGGCACTGTGGATATCTGACTTTTTAAGAAATTCAATGCAGATGTTATAATTAGTGCAGGGAAAAGGCATGCACACAAAAGAGTGCACTAATAAAGAGCACTAGCCAATAAAAAACTTCAATAAGAACCTGGTGTTGAAACGTATGGACAATTTTTGAGCTAGTGCTTTGCACAAAGATGTCTTGCCTGTCCCTGGAGGTCCATGTAGAAGAACGATTCTGCAATTATATGAAAAGGGACCAGTGAAGAAAAAATCAGACTTTTCATGTCCACGTAATTCTATCCGAGGAATGACTGACAATGAAGTTATTTCTTTCTTTTTTTCTGAACTTAGAAATAATAAAAAAAGACCCAAAAGAAGGGGTCGCAACCCAAGTATATACAGAGTATTTTCAAGACCTCAACCACAATCTATACCTACATACCTGCTAAAAATACCGCACACACACATACACACATGTAACCCATAGTGGTAAAATATTCATCTAAAAGAGTGAATGATGTGCTAGTTTGAAAAGTTGAGCATAGTGGTCGAATTTTATTACAACGGGATACCAATACTTCAGGAAGAGGAACTTCCTTGACGTAAGCAACTATTTGCAAAAAATTATAATATCTTGATAGCATAATGTTTAATCGTTAATGGGACCCTTATTAACAAACAATTAAAGCAGCACAGTCTTAATAGCTACGTTGCAATATAATCAAGGATCAGTTTAGTGATTTCATTCATGCACACAAGGAATACTTATAATTGTTGCCATATGAGGATACTGATACAATTACGTGTTATACAACATACCAGGATGTTTATCCCTATTTCAGATTCCTATTTGTTAATGCATGTCTATGCTCTTCCAAGAGAAACAAAGTATAATCCACAGAATTTGTAAGAGAAGAACTTTTCTGCTTTGAAGTTATACTGCCTCCCAAACTAATGTTCTTCCGCAACATAATTTTGACTTTAAACTGCATAACCATGGTCCCTATTCCATAGAACTGGCAAAGATTGTTTCTCAATGGACAAATAGTACATACAGACTGCAGACCATATGTAGGTTGAGAAAGTAGAAGAAAAAGAAACAAAGAAAAAGAAAAGGAAGTTCAAAAGTAAATTGAATTCTAACCACTATAGTTTACTCATTCTTATGCACCCATAGTCTCCCTGTATTATGTCTTCATCACCACTTAAAAAACACAACTAAAATAAAAAAGCATTAAAAAAGCTAGTACTAGAAACCGAAGTAATTTTTCCACAGTGCCAAAGCATTTGCAAGGGACTGTGGAGATTCCTAACCTCGCACCCATATTCAAACCAGTAATTTGTTTAACACCTTTACATAGACTAGACAAAGACTGTTCATACAACATGAAACCAGAGATCAACATTTGCATGGGAAGTACATGAATTTATCTTGCCATGTCCACTACAATGGTCACATCGATGGGAAATATAGAAACACCGTAAAGGAATAATCAACCTCAATAAAAAGGCAATGTTTTCTGACAACTCAAATTTTACTTCAAGACTTTAAGAAGGATCCAGAGAATGAAATGTCCTAAAACCTAATGGGACAGCCTTGCTTGATCTGAGGTGATTCTTGTTGGAGGAGTTCATTTAACAAGATTATTTAGTATTTCATAAAGCACATTTGTGTGTTAAGTGCATCAGTGAGATATCTGAAAGCAACCAGAACTTCTCAATAACTGAAATTTACAGCGAGGACCTTCCAAAGAAATGCTCACAACTAAATAAAAAACATTAACTTATAAAAACCTGATTAAAGGTTCAAAGTGAAAAGATTATATTACTAGTTCATTTAGAAAGCCCCCACTTCGACACACTACATATTACAAAATAAGAGCTATGCAAATATTCCAGAAATCAGAAAAAAATCCCTTACCGGTTCCATGATACAAGGGAAGGATCAACACCTTTTTCAGTAAAAAGCAAAGCACTTGCCGCATAACGCAACAACCTCTGCTTGAGGCCAGATTCATAAATTAAGCTGCAGAAGCAGATATCATGTTTTGCAGTTTCTACATCTGTAGATTTCAAATGGGAATATGTTGCAAACCAAACCTTTCCCACATGCCATTGAATTCCTTGGCAGGAAGAATCCATTCACTAAAGCTAGAAAGTTGGCCATCCCCACTTAATTCTTCACATGGTCCTTCCTCGCTAAGCTGAAAAAAAAGACATTTAATGGAATCGATAGAAGCACGGGAAAAGCATTAGGCAAAACACACAAATAGAATAGTAACATCTGATGAATTCAAATTTACATTGCAGACTCAAGAACCTCTACCCACTTAGGAATTTCAATGTTAGATGAAGAACAGTTGGCGATTGTGCATCATAATTTTAAAATACTGAAATCCATCCTGTTGAATTTATCCAGTCACTGAAATGGGGACCTTCTCAGAACTACAGTGAAGATTAGTTAAGTAATAGCAACAAGTAAGATTTCAAGATGATCCCAAAGAATTTTACATTTATTTACTTTACTATCCCCTGCTATGCAGGATTTTCTCTTCACATGCTATTTTATGTGCAATAAGACTAACCACATTTGAGGGGGCAAACAAACACGCCATACCAACAATAACAAAAAAAACTGAAAAAATGGTCACTGTATGGGGTTTTTACCATTTAACATGCTACAAGTATGCATGCACTTAAATGAGCATGGACCAATAAGTGAGAAACCAGATATTTCACACACATAATATTTATAAATCAAAGACAAAGCTGATGGTAAGCTATAAGCAAACAAATCACCTGAAAGACATGTACAACGGGTTTGACTTGCCAGAACAAGAGAATGTCATGGTTGTCCACCCATTCATCTACAGAAAACCAATAGTCAAACATGATAACTCTAAAATAGCAAAAGACCTTTAGTTTCCGTCCGGAAAGAACAAAAAGGGTGTATAAAGAAAAAGGACTTAAACATTCTTTCAAAAGGAAATCCATTTTTCAGTATTTTTGAGCAATTTCCCTTTCCTTTTTTCTTTCTGAAATCCAAACATAGCCTTAAATTCCCCTTACACATATATGACATACCTGTGTCACAAACACATATCCTTTGTACATTCTCTACAAGAAAGGGGTCATCAAATGGCTGAGGAATTGGACCATCAACATAGCTCAAACTCCTCTTTTCAAGCATTCTACACAGACACGAGCACAAAAAAAAAAAAAAAAGCAATAATTACATTCGCTTTATTGAAATAATATTAGATATTAAGTTCATGACTGGTAAACGGAACCGAACTAGATAATGACTTTTTAAAAGCATCCAAACAGCATTTAAAGAAACCAGTTGATTAAGGACTTGCAATGATGTTCCACAAACACGGCAGCCCAAAAATTCACATTAGATAAAGGGCTAATCTTAGTTTATACACTCAAAGATGCTCCGATTCTCAATTTACATCCTCAATATTATAAATTAATAGCAATGTAGACCTCCGTCAAATTGTCATTCAAGTCTCCGTCATAAATTGAAGTACGTTAGTTGCAAGTGCTTTAGGCATGGGTTTATGTATAATCTCATAGACTATTGGTACCTCATGTAAGTTGCACATGATAGGATTAATCGCTATCTAATTAATGAAATTCTATTTTTGATACTCAAAACAGTGTCAAATTGATCGCCAACGAAAATTTTCTACGATGGACATATCTCATACTCTTGCCCCAAGCACTTTCAATTTATGACGAAAAATTGAATGGTAGCCTAAGTTGGGTCCACAATATAAATTAAGATTTTTAATATTTGAAGGTGTAAATTGAAAATTGACATATCTTTTGGTGGTAAAAAGTGAAATTAGTCCATACATCATATTTAATAAGAAAGTGAAGAAAGCGAAATAGAAAGAATAGATAAATGAATGAATGATATTTCCTTCCAACTCATCAAAATCAATCCCTTTAAAATTGATAGGAAAGTGGATAAAAAATTAATTATTTGTGTTGAAATATATATTATTTGTCTATATATCATTTGATATATACATATATTATGTATATGTTAATTTTATATATAAATACAATAATAAAATATGTATTTATACTTTTGAAAAAAAATTAAAATAAAATTTTTAAAAAATAAAAAAGTAAAAATTAAAAAAAAAAACCCACCTAGCACAAAAAAAAATTATTCATTTTTATTTTCCATTCATCGTACCAATTACAAACGAAAGAAAGTGCATCATTCCTAGATGTGCATCCAATTACAAAAAAAAAAAAATTAATTAAGTTTTTGGACTTTCTGTGAACGCAAAGAAAAATAAAACCAAACGAGGAACTCCGCAACCTACAAGGTGTTTAATAGTGTGAATATGCATAATACCTTTCAACTGCTGACCGCACATCATCGATCCGTGCTGTACTAAAGGGTTTCAAGCAAACTTCAACTGCAATAACAATTTGACAAAACCTCAATTTAAGCTTGAAATTATACTACAATAAATTATCTCATAATGTACCTGACACAAGAAATTTGTCTTCACTAGTCAATGCAGGAGGAGGAGGAGGATGGATAGGAGGTACTGGCTCCAAAACGCCCCCATTTTGTTGCTCGGAGGTGTCACCGTCGGCTGTATTTTGCATAGAGATCTCCATCGGAGCACTCATTTTGGAGAGAGAAACTGTGAGATAGTTCTTTAGTGGGACGCGTTTTAGAAATTAAGATTAGGAAGATTGGCAAACCCTAGCTCGGTGGGTGAGGACCGAAGACGGAGTTTTTGTTTCGAAGCTGAGCGCGGGAAGCCGAAAGAAAGATTATTCCATGTGATGCACGTACTTTGTTGCTTGACCGAATAAGCTTACTGGCCAATGAGAAAGTAACACGTAAGCTTGGAATCATAACAAGTTGGTACCGTCAATAAGAAAAATATTAAATGTAACAATAACGCTACATGATTCGGTGAAACTTGAATGATTTATTCGACTTGCCATTTATCGTTAACTCGTTTGGAACTTTAGCACCTTCATTTCTAGTTTTCACATAACTCCTAGCTTTATTTTCTCTCCAAATACAACCAATTCAGATATTTACAATTAAAAAATACTAAACTCTCTTTCGGGTAGGCCCTAAAAGACGAAAGAAGACTGAAATGCCAACAAGTTTCTATTATTAAATTCACCGGACTCAATAATAATCATTTTGATAACGTTCAGTGTCAAAATCACTGAATGAGTAAGTCATTAATCCCTAAAATGAACTATTGAGTTACGAACAGACATTTTACCAAAATCATGGTGCTTGAAACCTACTAGAATGAGGCCACTCGAAGAATGAATTTAATTGTAATACCTTCTTGCAGTGCTTTTATAGTTTGATGGAAATTACTTTGAAAAAATCTCGGACTTGTAGGCGAAGTGAACGTTTTGATTTTGATCAAAATTTTTATCCTAAATGTCATTTGATGATAAATACACATATACCCTTCTCTTTGTTAAAAAAATTAAGTAGAAAGTGAGTTTGACTCTCTACGTGTAGGGAGCCTAAATAGAGAGTTCATTGGAAATAATTTTTTTTAGAGTTAATTATCTGAAATAGGGAATTAAGTAGCAATTAATAGTCTATTAGAGATGCCGTAAAAGATATTGTAGCAATTATAGATCCAGAAAAGGGACCCACTTAATTTATCTTAGGCTTACTTTATCCGTTATGATCATTTGTTGAAAATAAATGGTACTTGAATCTAAAAATTTAATCTAATTTGTTGACTTGTAACTTCATTAGAACTATTTAATTAACATCAAGTTTCAATATTTTAATGGAACTTACATTTAATTCAAAAGTAAAAATGAATTGAGCAAAGTTATTAATGTCTAATTTATTGACTTAATTCACTATAATATTTGGATGAACAATATTATAAAACTCAAATAAAAATTCAAAAAATTACAAACCAATTGCATATCATCCTTTGGATGAGTGGGTCCCATCAATTTTTTCAGTGAGAACCACTTATCCAAGGGATGATATGCATTTGAGTTTTAACTTTTGATTTTCATTTGGGTTATGCAGTATTTTCTTATTTGGATTGACTGTGGATCTCATTAAATATTAAAATTTGGTGTTGATCTAATAGTTTTATTGAAGTTACATTATTAAATAATCAAATTATGCCAGATTTTTAAATTCAAATAATATTACTCTAATTAATTAGTTCAACAAATTAGGCCTAAATGACATCATTCTTTATTGAATGCCTTTGATAGAACCAAGTTATGGCCAAATTGATCGATACAACTATGTTAAGGATATTCCATAAGTTGGTGGAAAAATAATTTGTCTTACCTTCATAGAATCATTTGAAGTTAGGCTAAGGTTTGGAAAATATAGTTCTGTCCGATACAATCGTACAATAGACTTCAAATGCACCATACGCTTAAATTCAAAGGTCAAATTCAAGTAAATTCGAAGCAAATGACATAGTTAAATGGTGACCGCATAATTCTCATCTTGAGCAATCTAAACCTTTTTTTTCCCCATTCCCTACATGCCATTCATCATTTTTTTGATCACAAGAGTCTGCGAAGAACTTGCCACTCAAAAAAGATACAGATGCAAACAAATTTCCCCCAACAGCACCAACGTGAGGCTCTCATTCATCTAAGATAACAAATGTCCCATACAAGAGCTTCTTAGACAATGTCAAAAGAAACTATGAAGAAAAAGGTAGAGCATGAGCACGAACATGAAATCCTCAAGGCTGTGGCACAAGCATGGCACGGTCACTCCAGCTCCGGCAGTTCTACGACAACTAGTGAATTCGACACCCACCGGAGGAACTTCAAGAGCAAGCCCACTCGCTTCAAACTCGAGGCAATGAGCAAAGCAACGGCGAAGGAGTCCGGCAGTGGGAATTGGGATTTTGGGCAATCTCTTTGGGATTCTTACGAGCTTGTGACTTTATCGAAGAAGTTAGAGGCCGGGTTAGTATTAGATCATCAATTCTCCTCGTTGGATCCATTTCGGATTGTTAAGAGACGCAAAGAGAGTAAGAATAGCCTTAGAAATTTAATTGGTCGAATGTCTGCAAAGAGATTTGATGATGCTGATATTGTCCCACATGAGGAGGGCACTCAATTTTGATCTGTTTTGGTTAGTCTAGCTTTAACATTAATTTTCTTAAAGATTAAAGATGTAACTAATACTATGTTTCTGTTTTTGACTTGTCAATTGAGGGATGCTACTTCTCGTATCTGTGGTGCGCCTTATCACTCTAAATCTAACAATTTTTTTTTCTTGCAAAATTATACTCTTTGTAATCAGAAAATTGATTTCCTTACTGTTGTTTAGTTTTTTTTTTTTAACACTCCTAGAAGTTTCTATACATGGGAATGGGTGATTGAAGCTCGAACTTAAGTTGGCGATCGGGTGAGGGCTTTTCTCGTATGATTTGAGAAAATAGCCATGGAGATTAATGAAATTGCAGTAAATTCTGCATGTTACATTATGAGCCCGTTTGAAGTTGATTTTTTTGAATGTAAAACAAAAGTTAAAAATTGAAATGAAAAATTAGAGTTCAAAAAACTCTTCAAATCGTTTGGAGTGTTTCCGAAAAAAATTGGTTTATCATTGAAAAGCCCTTTAGATAAATCAAAATTTTCAGTTTTTTCTTGATGCTGATAAAATCTATTTTTGTCTAAAAAACTGATAAAAAAGTCACCTAATAAGCCCGAGTCCAAACAAACGAGATTTCTTTTCCTCTAAAACTAAAAAAAAAATATTTAAATCAACTTCAAACAAATCCAATGTCTAATATAAAAAATAGATTCGACGAAACTATTTGGGTTGATAGTTATGCATTAAAAAGTTGAGAACTTTCATGAAAGATTCCATTCCCCATAGCTGGCATATGAAGTGATGGAATCCTGAAAAAGGTCTATTATTCCCCACTCAGAGATACAGTTGTGTGGGGGAGATTTCACAAGGTGTTCTTCATCACTTATCACAAAAATATGCTAACCGATGATATTAAGAATAATACCAAAAATAACTAGACGGATATTTTCATATTTCGTCTTCACAAGGTTCAATAATCAATTCATCTAGGTACGAACTTAGGCAATTATGATCAGGTCGTCCATATCACACACGAAAAAAGTTAGTATTCTAATTCAAGTGTTTGGATACAACTCTTTTATTCACGAGTTGACCAAAAGAGTAAGAGGTCATCTCAAACAGTATGACCTCTCATAGATATGGAAGATCGCAACATATCCAAACCCAGAGATATATTACAATGTCATCTCAACATCTTCTAGAAGGTTATGTCACACCTAGGAAATGTAACCTCTAACCGCAAAATTTTTTCTTAATAAAATCCTAACAAATACGGAAATTATGTGATGATAATATAAAGATCACCCCACCTGTGGGCATAAATATAAGAGGCATTCCCTCGTACAAAAAAAGTTGTAACATCAACAACTATAATCTCTATATTCTTGCCCAAGCAATAGAAAAGTCAAGCTTTTCGGCTAGTGAACCACTATATTCTATGTTCTTCTTTTGGTTCTAGCTCTTGCCCTTATCTTTTGATTACTGTAGCACTTGACAGAGCCTCCAGGCTCTACCTCTCTCTGATCGCTCACACTGTTCACACCACAATCACTATTCGATAGTCTTAACATCATCATTAACGAATCACTCGAGAGAACTAAAAGATTAAGAACACCATGTGGGTTCGAATTTGAGCACATCTATTGTTTACACATATAATGTCAGCTTATGTGTAGTCAGTCTATATCCCTCTCGAACCCCATCATTTTAGAGAGAAGAGAGAGTTGGAGACTTGAGAGAAATTGAAAAAAAAATTGAGACCAAGTCCTGTCTAATTTCTTAATGTATTGGAGACTTGAGAGAAATTGAAAAGAAAATCGTGAGATTAAGTCATGTCTAATTTCTTAACCTATCAAAGAATCTCTATTATTTTCTGAAATATAAAACTACGAGTAAATTTCTTACAACTTTAGAACAACCCCAAAGATTACAGAGGAGGCGAGTGTACCCACTGTTTTAGACATCAACCCATCAGTTTAGTTGAAATCTGGCACTATAACACTGTTTTTGATTGATTACAGCATGCAAATCACTCATGTGTTTTCAAACTGAGCTCACAGCCTATATCTCTTTGTTTTTTATTTGATGACAAGAACCGACTCACCCACACTTCCGTTGGACTCGTGACTGTCACATAAAATTCAAATCCATGCAATCACCGAACGTTTGCAAGACTCAAACTTTAAAAACTCGAGTTATAAATTAACCTGATGGAGTAATAATAATATCTCTTATGTTGGTAAGTTAAGCCAAGAAAGGAAACATGCAGTTTGAAATCCTCAAAAACTATTCCAACAGTACCATTAGATTCAAGAGTAATCTTGTTCCCCAAAAACCATTGTCATAGAAAAATGCAATACATTTGAAACATTCCATACAGAATCATCATATCTAACTCTGGCTAATTATCGAAGACATGCATTTTACTTATACTAAAACCACGCATGGTTCTAACATTATTTCAAACACTTGTCCTGCAAATCACCCATTGGCCAATCTGCTCCATACAGACCCTTCTAATTAACTTACTTTGAAAGTCGCCCATCTGGACAGCCCAAAGTTCTGGTGCGCCCGCTGAAGGAACCCATCAGCTTTCTCATCCATGCTCTCTTCATGAACCTTATCGATCTCAGTAGTTTTCTCTGGCTCGACGAAACTAACTTTCTTCTGAGACTTTGGGACTTTCTTTTGATTTTGTTCTTCTCCATAAGTGACCTTGTTGTTGAAGAGCATGTACACATCTGGGTACTGAGGGACGCCAGGGAGAAGAGTAGGCATCCTTTGTATTTGTGGGACAGGAGGATGGTACTCGTAGGACGTTGTGCCCCAGCCATATTGATTATTGGGGCGGTAGTCTGAGCTCCTACGCATTGTTCTCTCTCTATGTCTCAGCTCAGCTTGTTTGATTTGTTACAGAGAATTGGGGGGTGGAAGCTGCAAATTTATAGAACAGAACTTTATGCTATATGCTGAGAAGATAAGATTGAATCTAATGCCCTCTCTTTTGTCAATATCAAATAATGGATTCTGCAATTCTTTCGGTGGATTATGATGCCCAGATAAGAGCCTTGTTGACTCTCCCACATTGACGCGAACATTCTTGCAAGTATTTTTTCTGAGTACGCTGCCTATCATTTTTGGAGTCCGGATACTCTGCAGTACTGTTCCTAAATCACATCGTTTTATACACAAAACGATGTCGTTTTTTTTTTTTAGTAAAATGGTGTCTTTTAGAGGAATAGCACCCTGCTCTGCAGCCGAAGATCGGTTTCTTATTTTTAGATATCACTCACCTAAGACAACATGATGTTTTATAATGGACTAATCTCATTTTGTATTCTGAACAGTGTTTCGATTTTTAATTTGTACCTTTAAATATTAAAAATTTTAATTTATACTCTAAATATTATGAATTAATTGTAATATGAATTTGACCTAAACTATCATTCAATTTTTTATCATAAAATTAAAACGTGTGAATTGCAAGTCCTTTAGACATAGGTTTGTTGACGTCTCATGTGAGTTGCACGTGATAAAGTTAGTTTCTATATGATTAATGAAATTTTATTTTTTATACATAAAACGATGTCAAATTGATCATAGACATAGATCTACATTGATTGATACTTCAATTTATGATTAAAAATTGAATAACAGTCTAGATTAGGTTTACATTATTACTAATTCATGACATTGTAGGGCTAAATTAAAATTTTTAGTATTTGAGAATCAAAATATTTTTTAGAGTATAAAGTGAGATTAACACTTTTTATAAATAATTGATGATGTCATTAATATTATGTTGCGACCGTTACATTTTTTCTTTTTTAAATACTTTGTGACTGTTATATTGAAAAAAAATGATACATAATTTAAATAAAATTTAAAAATTATAATTTAAATATTTATCATTTCTTGGATTAATATTGAATGAGTAGATCTTATTAAAAAAATTAATGAGATTCATTCATTTAAGAGATAATATGTATTAAAATTATAATTTTTTGAGTTTTATTAGAATAATATAGCATTGAATCTTTTCTCAGGATTTGCATACTATGGATCAGAGTTATGACAGTTATTATCCCACCCACCAAAAGCCAACACAATGAACTTTACCCTTTCCCTCCTTTCCGCCAAAACCTCAACAACCACAATCACCATCACTCAATTCCCTGAAAACCCCAAAACTCTAATTCTTGAGCAATGCAAGACCACCAAGGACCTCAACCAAATCCATGCTCACCTGATCAAAACCCGCCTTCTTTGCAACCCATCCGTGGCCGAAAACTTGCTCGAATCTGCTGCCATGCTAATCCCCGAACCCTCCATGGACTACGCCCTCTTGATTTTCGACAAACTCGATAAACCCGATTCACCATTATACAACATCTTGATCAGAGGCTTCACATTGAAGCAAAACCCTGATAGAGCCATTCTTTTGTTCAGGCAAATGATCGAACAGTCAGTACAACCCGATGAATTTACCTTTCCTTCCGTTCTGAAAGCTTGTTCTAGGTTAAAAGCTTTGAAGGAAGGTGAACAAATCCACGCCCGGATCCTGAAATCTGGGCTTGGGTCTAAAGAGTTTATTGAGAATACTCTGATTCATATGTATGCCCATTGTGGTGAAGTTGGGAATGCACGGAGAGTGTTTGATGGGATGTGTGAAAGAAGTGTGTTTACTTGGAATTCGATGTTTTCGGGGTATGTTAAAAGTGGGTACTGGGAAGATGTGGTGAACTTGTTTCGTAAAATGTTGGACATGGGTGTTCGGTTTGATGAGGTTACATTACTAAGTATTTTGTCGGCATGTGGGAGACTGGGGGATTTGGAATTGGGGAAGTGGATTAATGAGTATATAGAGGCAAATGGACTAATGGGGAATCCTAATTTGGTTACTTCTCTCATTGATATGAATGCAAAGTGTGGGTGTGTGGCCAACGCTAGGACTTTGTTTGATCAGATGACTCAGAGAGATGTTGTTTCATGGAGTGCCATGATAGCTGGTTATAGCCAAGCAAGCCGGTGCAAGGAGGCACTTGCTTTGTTTCATGAGATGCAAAAGGCCAATGTGGAACCCAATGAGGTTACTATGGTTAGTGTACTTTCTTCGTGTGCTGTACTTGGAGCTCTAGAAACTGGTAAATGGGTCCATTTTTACATAAGAAAGAAAAAGTTAAAGCTTACTGTTACACTTGGGACCGCACTGGTTGATTTCTATGCAAAATGCGGGGCTATAGAAAATGCAGTTGAAGTGTTTCAGAAGTTGCCTTCGAAAAATTTATTGTCTTGGACGGTGCTAATTCAAGGTCTTGCTAGCAATGGACAAGGAATAAGGGCTCTTAAGTTCTTCAATTTGATGCGAGAAAAGAATATCAAACCAAATGATGTGACTTTCATTGGAGTTCTTTGTGCTTGTAGTCATGCGGGTCTGGTTGATGAGGGTCGGGATTTCTTTGTCAGTATGACTAGAGATTTTGATATTGAGCCACGGGTTGAGCATTATGGTTGCATGGTTGATATACTTGGTCGAGCTGGACTGATTGAGGAGGCATATCAATTCATAAAGAATATGCCTATTAAACCCAATGCCATTATCTGGAGAACATTACTAGCTTCATGCAGGCTTCATAGGAATGTTGAAATTGGTGAAGAATCCTTAAAGCATGTAGTGAGGTTGGAGCTTGCAAATAGCGTTGATTACATACTGTTATCGAATATTTATGCCTCAGTAGGTAGGTTGGAAGATGCATCAAGCGTGAGAAATCAGATGAAAGAAAGGGGAATTAAGAAGACACCTGGATGTAGCTTGATCGAGTTGGATGGAGTAATTCATGAGTTTTTGGCTGAAGACAATAAACACCCTCTCTCGGATGAGATTTATACAGCAACCGAGGACATGATTAATCATATCAAGTTGGCTGGCTATGTGCCCAACATAGCAGAGGCAAGACTAGACGCTGAGGAGGGCGACAGGGAAGCTTCAGTATCTCACCATAGTGAGAAGTTGGCCATTGCTTTCGGGCTTATTAGGACTTCTCCGGGGGCAACAATAAGGATAACAAAGAATCTCAGAATATGCAGAGACTGCCACAGTGCAGCAAAGATGGTATCAAATGTTTTCAAGAGAGAAATTGTTGTTAGAGATAGGAACCGCTTCCACCATTTCAAGGAGGGGTCGTGTTCCTGCAATGATTTCTGGTGATCATGAGAACCCTGTTTATGCAGCTGAATGCTGTGTTGCTCGTGATCCTGCGGTTTACAGATTGGTTCTGATATCTGGGGTTGGTCCTGTACAGCACAATGGTATACCTCAAGGTCACAATTTCAGAATTAGGGTTTTGAGAGCCCCCTTGTGCCTTGTTGTAGTTGCTGAGAACACTCAATTTGTGACAAACGATGTGAAACGCCTCACGTTGTCTCGTTGCACAGCCCGACTCTTAACCTTATCAAAGGAAAATCGAATAAAGAATGTGTTGTTCCGGAAAAACATGGCCTGAGTAGGCAGTTAATTCCAATTCTATTCGTATTAATTGATCTATTACTTTATCCTACCCCAATCATAGCATGTTTAGATGAAGACTAGGATCCATTGTCCTAATATAGGCATTAATGCATTGTATATATGTCAATGCATGACTCAATCACCTATCATGAGTACTTGGGTCATTTTGGATGCTTAAAGGCTCAAACCTCATTAATAGCACCTACTTACTTATACCAAGTATGTACAATGAGATGGTGCTAATGCATTGGGTCAATATTAACAAGAGTAATGCCATTCGAAATAAAAAATAACATAATGATATGTCAAGTGATAGAGTCCCGATAAAGTAGTCTAAAAGTTACAATCACAATAACATTATTAGACTATATCACCGCACATCATTAGACCAAAGCAACACAAAAAACCAACCACAGCCAAACATCTGAGCCCCTACAACAACAGAATCCACACAACTTAAAACCACAAAACAGAGAGGATAAAAGTCAATATCTGCGTTATTATAGCTACTGAATGCTGTGCAAAGCACACTGCTTCAGATTCAATGGTTCTGCAACCAAGATACTAGAATACCCCAATACACATCAGAAAACCAGAAAGGTTTCATAATGTTTCTGCTACCCTACACTTATTTATAGTAGCTTCTAGCCATGGCGATTGGAAGATTATTAAACTACACCACCTCTCCATTAAGAAGATCCATGACCACACGCTTAATACTCCCATTGTTCTTCTTCAGCAGCCTCATGTTCCTCTCTTCATTACCGAATCCCTGCACCCACAACCCAAATTCTCAACACTAAAAGAATTGATTGTTCTGATTTGAACCATATTAGGGGAAAAAGAAGGCATAATAACTGACAGGAAATAAGATATAAAAGTTTATCCCATGCCATCCAAAAACAACTTACCATCTCCTGCAACTCCTTAAGGACAGGATCCCATTCAGCATCACCACAGAGATCATCCACTGATCGCTCCATGTCATATCCGTTGGCCCTCAATATCTCCTTGTTCAAATCAACATGCCTGAAACCCATCTCCTCTAGTTCCCTAAGAAGTGTCTGCTCAACATCATTGCTTTCACCAGCCTCTTTAGCATACGCATGTGCAGCCATAGCGGGGGATGGCACAGCTGGTGCTTCAGGAAAATCAAAGATGGGATTCGTAATTGAAGCCAACGAAGAAGGCTGCCTCTGGGATGGTGCAGGGGAAGGCACAGCTGGTGCTTCAGGAAAGTCAATGATGGGATAAGTAATTGAAGCCAACGACGAAGACTGCCTCTGGGATGGTGCAGGGGAAGGCACAGCTGGTACTTCAGAAGAATCAATGATGGGATATGAAGTTGAAACCAATGAAGAAGGCTGAGGAGGCACAGGGACAGATACACCACCAACTAGCAAAGTATCATTAACGGGGAAATTCGGTTCCTGCTCCTTGTTTGGGTGTGCATCATCTATTGGTTCTACAAATTCAGTGATACTGTTAAAGTTGCTAGGCTCAGGCAGGTTGTCCTTAGCCTTGGGCTCCACATTGATATTTATAGTTTCCGGACCTGTTATGCCATAGCTCTCAGGAGGCATATTTAGGTTCAAGCCATGAAAGTTTCCACAGACGAGGTCTTTGAAAGAAGCTTCAACCTAGATGTTTAAGACAAGAGTCAGTACAAGTGAGCACAATTCTACACAGTATGTCAACAAGTAGTAGAGATAAGTCATTCGCAGTGAGTGACCTGTATGAGAACCCAAATCCGTTGCCCAAACTTATGGCCAGATGGTGAGGCCATCCTCCAGTATGAGATGTACCTGCCAGGAAGTTGGGGAGCAGTAAAATCAACTGCAATATCAACCTCATTATCCACAGGCAAACCATCAGCAGCAATCTGGCAAGGAACCAAAAAACCATTGTGGTCAGATCTCCCTACCATAATTGAAGATGTAGGATGAGCCATGCACAAAATGCATAATTAATCTTGGCCTTTAAATCTTCTACTTACCTCTACCTCCACAGTCAGTGCATCGCTTAATCTATCTCCCCCAATCCACACGAGCTGTGTTCCCTGGGGCCACACAATAGTACCATTGTTCCTCATCCGCCAAATCTTAGTAAATGAACTTGCTGGGGCCATAATAGTACCATCCAGGACATTGACATCCTGAATAAAACAACTGTCTAGCTTGGCACCACTTGGTTTCATTACACAACCTCTCAAGTCCTGCGGTAAGGTGGTAGGACGCATCCTTGAATGCTGAATCAGCAATTGTGCAAAGAATCAAAGTCAACCTAACAAATAGAATAACAGTACATAACAAGTAATTGAAATTGAAATGAATGGTAAAACTGCATACATGATAATCATATAAACCCTTGAAAGATAAGGGATGCCCGTAAGTCAAAGGACGGTCAATTTGGGTGTAATCAGCATCATTTCCCATTTGTGCAAAGCAGATGCTGCACAGGTCATAATCTTCTTTTCTGTAGAAACAAAATCAGAGAGCTTAGATATAATTTGGAAATCTTTTATAAAGCTACACATTATAAATGTCATGCATTCTTACACTTTAGACTTGAATCGCGGTCCAGTTATCGGATGAACCCCACAGCCATCACAACCAACGCCTCCGTGGAAAGTACTGCCAAGGCCATCACTATGGTTATAGCTCCTTTTGAATCGGACCAAATGAGGAGCACGCTGACAGGGAGGCAACACAGAGTCATGTGCTAAAGGCATCCCAGAAAAAGGGCGCTGGTCCTTAGGATTGGGGTCAACATGTGATGCATAAGAGTTCCCCCAACCATCACCACATTTAATGCTTACACCACCCCACAAATCTGCATTCGGGGAATCTCCACTAAAATCCTTCATAAAATTATAAGAACCAGAGGAAGCTCCAACACCACTAGAATCCTTCATAAAATTATAAGAACCAGAGGAAGCACCAACACCGACAAGCTTTTGTTTGGGATGATCTTCACTTGTCTTCTTAATCTCATTTTTGTCACTAGCAGGAGCTTTAGTAGCACCTGGCAGGCCATCCACAAATGCAAGAGCATCAGAATTCCCACTTGAATGATATTCAGCCAACTTTTTCACCTTTGACTTGCTCCCCACAGAAGAAGCACAAAGGACCTCTGTCATGTCATTACCAGCAGACACAGAAGATGTGCCTGGGGCAGGATTCGCAGATGCACTTCCAAAAAGAGAAGAGAGGCCGCCATTAAGATTCAAGGAACCAGTGCATGGTGTAACTGTCGTGCCCGCATTAGAGGCTGGTGTAGGTGTGGCCTCCACACTTCTGGCTGTGTTTTCAAGGTCAATCTTATTGTTTTCCACAGTTGGCTGTTCAGACTTGGTACATGGCAACAACTGATTGTTTTCAGAAATTGGCATCTCAGCTTTAGCACTTGGCAACACCTCTGAATTGCTCTCATCTACCTTTGAAACTTTTGGACCTATAGACACCAATTCACCCATGGTCTTTTCCGAAGCTCCACTCGATGTGCTATATTCAGTACCAGTCTGGAACTCATAAGCAGGATTCAGGTGGGACAATCCCATCTTTGATAAACTGTCAACAAGCTCAACAAGGCACGGTGCAGTGGATGTAGCTTTAGATGCCAAGCCAATTGAGAGCTTTGAGACTGCTTCACGAAAAGGCTCTGGCACGGATTTTAAAATTTCAGAAACACTGGCGTTCAAGTTTGGTTTAGGGTGCTGCACTCGAGGTGATCTCCTGGGGGTAGAAGTAGAACTTCCATTTGATCTGGTATAAGATCGGTCGGTCTTTTCAGTATTCAGCCTCACAGCTATCCTCAGGGGATTCAGGGATTGCCTCATCGCATCCCGCAGATCCTCATCATCAACAAGAGTTACTATATCGCCATCTCCATCAATATATGTAAGAGTTAGGTCACCATCAGAAGCAAAATTGAAGAGACCAAGGACCTTCTCTTTCAATCCATCCATATCAAGAACAAGTTCTCCATTAAAAACCCGAGCATTGAAGCGTCTAAGAGTTTCTCCATACTTAACCTGTCACAAAATAACCATTCGATTGTTATAAAAAGAATAGTATGCAAGATACATATAGCAAGGGCTCATGAATCTCGCCAGGCTTAAAGTAAAGAAGTTATCATAAATTATTTTCTTTTGTCTTTTTGAGAAAATTTTTTCCTTCCCATTTGCTCTTTCTACCCTCTCCTAAGCTCTCCTAAGTTTGGGTGCGTTTCCCGGGTGAGGATGGGGATGGGGGCAAGGAGTTGCATGATGGAAAAAAGGCACAATTGTGCTTAAGCTGCAGCACCACCGCCATCAGTGATATCACAAGGCTCAGAAGTCAACTTCAATCCTGTGCTGGAACTTTAGAGTTGGAAAACAACCCCCAAAAAATGTTAGGACATGAAGAGAACTACAATCAAATGAAGAGGAAAAACCATCATATGATCATATCTGTTTTGGCACGCCACTAGAGAAAAATCCTTATCACTACCTGACGAGCCCAGATTCAGACCAGACCCAGGCCCAATCCATGGGTTGAGCCCAAATCATCAAAAGGCAGGTCAAACCTATCTCATGGCCTCAGCTCAAGAGTCCAAAAAGAGTCAACATACGTGGGAGAACAATTATCGAGATAGCCATTACTTCAGGGTAGTGGCTATTCCCAACTATAGATACCCTCCCCGAAAGACTAGTAGCGTGACCTTCACATTACCGCCTCAGTTAAGGGTCTGTATCTATAAATTGTAAGCCCTCTACGCATTAGAGAGATCTCACACACCTCACCTTCAGTGTACTATTGCTCTATCTTTTCTACTACCTTGTACTCTCTTATTAATAGAATTCTCTGGCCACCGTTGCCTCCTTTAGTGGTTTGGTCTCCTAACACAACCATCCAATCTTTATCCCTTATTATTAATTGTTTCATTAATTGAACTGATTAATTGTACATAAATCCACTTTTGTGCATCATCACTAACCATCGGTGCCCTCATACTTTTTTGATAAATTTGTCATTATGATCGCAATTACGTCCACCAAAGTACCGAATTCTGAGGGCAAGGAACTCAGCCTGGGAAGAGGCAATCCAAATATTTCTACAGCTGTGTATATGTTTCAAACGAAGAGATTAAACACACTGAATTTGTAATCCAGGATGTTGAGCAAAAACCTCTTCAGCTACCATGAAATCCAAATAATAAGCACACTCAAGCATTTAAAAGTTTTAAAAATCTACTAACTTCCACAGTCCAGCAACAAAGTACTAAAATGCTACTTTATCAGAATCATAAATTGAAAACTAAAACCCCATAGATAAAAAAAAAAAAAACTAAAATGGTCGTGCTGATATGTATAAAGCTTAAAAATTGACCCAAATACACCTGGCTTAGAAAACCCTAACCCACAACAGAACAGAAGAGTGCAGTAGACTAAAATATGATAGTAAACATCATCAATAGGCTAGGCTCAGTCAAGGATCAGGACTGGAGTATAATAATTTCCATTCCTTGCACCAAATAACACAAAACCATAATATCCAAAAACTAAATCAGTTTAATTCCCCGCAAATTTGTCTTAGCAACCAAATAGGGAACAACCAGAACAACATCATACAACCAAAAATACATAACAAATCAATCAATTATTCGAGACACATACTGAGACGGCATACAGAGACATAAACACAAGCAAAGTAGCATAAGACCGAACCTTGATCACTATACTAGACTCCATAGCTTAAAGTAAACCCTCAGAGACCAGTCGAAGAGCAGCGGTCCAGGAAAGCCGAAAAAAAGCCTTTGTAGAGAGTTACACTGAACCGATCAAAGGAAAACCCTAAACCTAGAATTGATAGTGAAAATTAGAAGAATTGTTCAAAGTTCAGAGCGACACGATCGGTAAGAATCGAAAGAAAGAAGAAGGCATTCACAAATTCCACGCGTACCCGTGACCCTCGTCTCTCTCTCCCTCTCTCTGTCTCTCTCTCTAAATATGCATCTGATACATATCAACAGGTGAGTATGCGGGTGGAGGACTTAATTGAGTCTACGGAGTTTTCTTCTTCCCTAAGCGACAAGAAACGTACGGGGCGAAGGAAAATGAAATGTCGTCTGTATCCCTATCATCAGATACAATTGAGAGTAATGCCGTTAATCAAATTGATATATTCGAGTTTGACTTAAGCTTGGATCCTTCACGTTTGATTTGTTTTTTAAATAAATTCAGACTTAAATAAATATTTAGACTCTTTTAGAAAACAAATCTTGCTTAAATTTGACAAGTTTAAAGTACAAATACTCGGACTCAACTTGTTTTTAACTCGTTCAGGTTCGACTCTTTCCTAAATGAATTAAATTTGAACAATTTTTTAGGCTCGATTAAGAAACAAGTTTTTTAAACTTGGTTTGAACTCAACTCGGGCTCGTTCGACTAATAACCCTAATTGAGACCACTCGAAAGGAAAAAAAAATATATTTGATAAACCGGTGACAACACATTATTAATGTTATATGGTGTTATTAATTAGTGATAGAATACCAAATGAATTTAATAAGGTTCGTTTTTTTTATTAAATATCAATAATTATATAGGATTAATTATAAATTGTATCTTGAAAGATCGTTTGAATCTCAATTTATACCCTCAAATATTAAAAGTCTCAATTTATATTCTTAAAGATATAAATATGTATCAATATACATTTGAAACAAACAGTGATCAATTTACCGTCTAAAATTAAATAGATAAATTATACTTAGATCCCCTTATACTTGTCACTTAATTATTTGGACTTCATCACATTTAGAATATTATTCATATACCTGACGTTTGTGCTCGTATAACACATAACCCCTTATCGTTGATATCTTTTAATATAATCGTTAAAAAATATAATTTTATCCTAATAAAAAAATTATAATTTTATTCTATCATTTATTTTGTGGGTCTGTTATACTAGAAAGTTTAAAATCAAGCTTATCATATGAATGTCTAATATAATGCAAGTATTTATATAATGTTCTTGCAATACATCACTTAAACAAAATTATTTGAATGTCCAATTAGGGGAATATTTTTAGTCGTATTTGAATTATCAAGAGATGTAGGTATAATATTTTAAATTTGAAAGATCTAGGTGATTAAGTGACAAGCATGAGGGGATGTAGGTGTAACTTATCTGTTTAAAATTATACGGCAAACTGACAGCTGCTGTTAGTTAAATGTGTGCATTTATACAAATTTTTATCTTTGAAAGTACAAATTAAAATTCAAATGATTGTTTAAAGTTTAATTTGAGATTAACCCAATTACATATGTCATATTGAAATAGTGGAATTCACCAATTTCTTTGATATTTTATAATTGATGGTAACATCATATAATATTGATGACGTTGTGTCACTGTTACATCAAATATTTACTATAAGGGCCGTGGATTTTACACGTGGGGTTTAATTATTGGTTGGAGTAATATTTGGTTGCTTTTGCAGCTGCACATAATAAATTGGCAACTACCCTGGACCAATCCCCAATCCCCAATCCCCACTCTCGTTTGTTTAATCCACAAGGTTTTGTTGTAATGTACTATAGGATGTGTTGTTTTTACAATTGACAAAAGACATTTGTTTCGTTTAATTATGAATGAAATTTTCTTGTCTTTGTCTCCAAAGATTTGCTTATTTGTTTGGTGGAACATACTATGTAAAACAGAAGAATACAAGAGACAAACGAGTTGTACATAAACAAAAGAGTGGCTAATACCGTGGACAAAACAGTGATACATAGACAATGTTCAAGAGACCCAATTCCATTACAATGTCTATAAAAACAACTACTTCCAGTGCATAGCCAAAGTACAAATTTTACCCCTTTCTATTTGGGCTTGACACCTCCATTATCTGGATTGCTTTCATTCTTCCTTTTTTGTGATGTTGATTAAAGGGATACAAGAGTTGTACATCTCTAACCTTTCAGCAAGATTGGTGCTGGATTTGAAGTAAAACGAGGTGGTATAAACTGTTGTGATGATCTTGGTGGGATGGCATTTCTTATGACCTAAACATAATGAAATGCAGCTTAGAAATGTTTCACACACGCATGTGATAATAGTTAAATCTATACTACTTATAAATGTCAGCATGTGTGAAAATTTTTTAATTTTTTATTTCACCTTAATTATTACCATAAAGCCAATTATACCCACATATTTTCCTGTCTTTCATACCTACTTAACTTCCAAAATATTAACCTGATAAACTTTATCTGTACGACTTGGTAGATAAAATTTATCAAAATATTATCTAGATAAACTTTATCAAAATATTCGATACTACATATAAATGTCAGCATGTGTGAAAATTTTTTAATTTCCTATTTTACCCTTAATTATTACCATAACGTTAATTATACCCACATATTTTCCTGTCTTTCATACCTACTTGACTTCCAAAATATTAGCTAGATAAACTTTATCTCTATGACTTGGTAGATAAACTTTATCAAAATATTTCCTAGATAAATTTTATCAAAATATTAGCTAGATAACTTTATTTCTATTACTTGATAAATAAATTTTATCTTTATGACAATACATTCTTTCTTTTCCATTCAATTATACAAACTCTACTAGAATTCTAATATAATATATTAGTATTTTTTAGGTGGTACATATACATATATTTTTTTTCCTACTTATTAGATTTCTAAAATTTTATCTCTATGAAGTCCTATGGTCTCATGCTCTTCTGTGACACACTCAATAAAGTTGAAGTTGAAGTTTTTGGTATAATTGCGATTAGTTTATCAATTCTTCTGTTTTAGTTTATTAATTCCTATATTTACGTTAATTCCTATGTTTTGTGGTATTTAATTTTTCTTAATGTAATATCAAGCAGTTTTGTAAGAGATTGGTGTAGCAGGTCAAATATTCAGTATAATTGAGGTTAGTTTATTAATTCCTATGTTTACGTTAAAATTTTCTATGTTAGTGTTTCTTTTTTTTTTTTACAACCTCTCATGAATTCAATTTTTCATTGCTCATATAGCTAATATTTTGAAAACTTATTCAAATCTCCTATAATAATAATCTAATGATTCTTAATTTTTGAATTAATAAAAAATTCCAACATTTATTGAGACCAACAATCAATCCAATAATAAATAAATTAAATCCAAAAATGGAGGAAAAACAACTTGAAAGTCAAAAGCATGACTTGTTAATAAACAAGATGCCACGTAGAAACTATGCAGACATTTATTGAGACCAACAATCAATCCAATAATAAATAAATTTGTCACGCTCCATCCTGGTCTCTTAAGGATAAGACGCGACTAGGTTTTTGATACACCTATTTACATGTATATAATCTAGATTAATAAAACACTAATTAATCCCACAGGTTCAACAATATCCACCTATCACCTTAGTTATTAAGCATGATGGTAAACCTGTCCCATAACCTATACCATATATAATACATGCACCAATTGTTTTTTTCCATGGTTATAGACAAATACAAAATCCCACACCCACATAGCATACATCACAAAATATATATGTTGAGTCTGTTTACAAATATATATACTATTAACCTGCTATAATAATCTCTCATTTAACATAATAAACAACCCAACAAATAATTATACAATCCATCAATCAGTATCATTTACTCATTTAAAACTAAATACATAACGAATAGAATATCATACTAACATTATACAAAACACAACCATTTTGACAGTTGACTAATCTATGTCTCCCTCTCTTGTACCTGAAAAGGAGAAGTTAAAGGGGTGTGAACTAAACCACTCGCTCAATGAGTATACATGTTTTATATGAAATGAAAATGATAATAATACACAGAAGTAGATAAATACTACGTAAATACACGTATCAAACAAAATCAATCCAATTCTAAGAATTCACAAGTCATAACACATCCATAATAGCCCTCATCGGGTAATCGATTCCACATAGATCTGTATCTCCCGAACCTCCCGGGAACACCACAGTGCTAGCACACCACTGCACGCTCAGTGATTAGGCATTGACGCTCCTGTCTCAGACAGTGCGCCACATTCCACAATACACAAAACACAATACAAAGCATTATCCAATCACATAAGCACATAGCATAATATTGGAGAATACTATTAAATTCTATGATCTAACATCATCTTATAATAGTATTTTCAAAACATATAAAGATATACACCCACCTCAAATATACTGATCTATTGCCATTCGATTCTATCGGTGGATCCTTCCGGTGTTTGCGTAGCCGTCTCTATACCAATTGTCATACCTGTTCCACCTAACACATCAATATTAATATGTTAATCACATTGAATAATTAATCATGCACTAATGCATGCAATATGATTCAACTCAAAGTGTCCCGGTAACTCCTATTATTGCACTGTTCACTCACATACTGACACATTAGATTTAGGGATCATATTTTTTTTCCCAAATCTTCAAAATCACCGAATCCCATTTTCGCCCATTTTTATACATTTCGACCCCCGAATCCCAAAAATTGCACTTCCGGCATTTCGTACTGGATTTTATATTCATTTGCATTTGAAATTTACGTTATCACATCACGTATCAATTAAAAATGCAGCATGTAAAATTTTAGGTCATTTGCATTAAAATTTCATACAAGTGCTACTAATATTTAAAAATCAAAATTTCGGCATTACCGACACCCATTTTCCATTGTTATCATACTTTCTTTTAAACAATTTTACCTAAACTCACACACTCCCTAACTCATGCAAATCAACCCTTTAATTGAACCCTTGAACTCTCCATTTTACACCCAAAACCTCAATTTCAACTAGCCACCTAAAGAACCCAAATATTCATTTTTTCACATTTTTCTCACATCCAATTGAATACCCATTTAAAACCACTAAATAATGTTCCACACACTTAAATTAGACTCATAAAAATATATTTTGGAATTAAAATAAAATAGCCCATTATTTTAACACAAAACAACCCAATAATTATGTTTCATACACTTAATTTAAACTCACCAAAATATCTTTTGAAATTACACTAAAACAATTCCACACATATACATAAATACTTAAAATTAATCACACAGACATACACTAAAATGAACACACACATACACCCTTACCTTCTTCTTGTTTCCTTCTTACTTTTGGTTTGGCATGGAGACCCCCAAATTTTTCTTTCTTTCTTTTCTCTTTTTTTTTTCTTTTTTTTTTCTTTTTTTTTTCTTTTTTTTTTCTTCCTCTCCTTTACTCTCCCTCATTCACGGTTTCATATAGCCTGAATACACACACACACACTTGTTTGTCTTTTAAATACATTCACTTTACTACATATTAAAGTACACACACACACATTGTTCTATGCATTACACACACACTTTACTACACCTTAAGACACACACAAACACTTGGCATACACACACCCACATATATAACTTTTAAAAATAACTCACCACCTTTTATTTGACACACGTGTAAAGATATTTCCATGCAACTTAATAATTCTACTTGCCTCCCTCCAAATTCTTAAGTGATTCCAAAATTAATTCAATATTATTTTCATACACAAAATTCTATCTAACAATTAATTTCATATAATTACAATTAGTCCACATAATTATACTAATATGTATGCAATGCATGATCGGGTCTCACAAAATTAAATCCAAATAAAACCTGAAATGGAGAAAAAACAACTTGAAAGTCAAAAACATGACTTGTTAATAAAGAAAGTGTCACATAGAAACTATGTAGAAACTACTTAAGACATGATTTGTTTCTTTTTTTCCTCTTCAATCATTCACACAAAAATCTTCTGAAAATTATATTAACAAGTCTAGGAGAACAATAAATAGAAACGTGAATCACGAACGAGAAAATTTTACACAAGAAATCATAGATAGAGTTTCAAGGATCACAAATGTGGTTAACATAAAAATATCTAACATAACATGGCAAGCACCACATAAAAAATTAATTAACAGAATTCAAAAAAAAATTACTATAGAAAAAACATACTAACACTCTAAAAGCACTTATGAATTAGAAGTGACTAAAACTGTAATTTACAGAGTTCACATAAACAAATTCATTTAATAAAAATCTGTTCATGATCAATGAATAAACATAAATAGAAAATTAACTTACAGTCAAACAATCTCAAACCTATTTGTTAAATTTTGTAAAAGAGCGATTGAAATCGATTCAAACCTTAATACTCTATAATCAAATTTATTAAACTTTATTTTTCATTGCTTATATTCTATTATAGCATTATAAATAAAAATTGTATGTTCCAAAAATTCATTATTCTAACTATAAGAAAAAAGATTTAAAAAAATAGTTAAAATTAGGTACCACACCCAAAAAAAAAACATTAATGTAATATATATCATGTTTTTGAGTATTTTTATATGTACCATATTTTTGAGTATTTTTGTCATTTATTGGCTGAAATTTATCAAATTTTGAGATTAAAAGATTAAGTACCTTTGTTCTTGGTATTTTAATTATTCACTTACCTTTACAAAAAATAATTCAATTTTATTACTCATTAACTTTGTATTTCAAATAAATTTAATAACAAATTAATGAACTAAATTTTTTTCACGTGCTACACACGTGTACATTGCTAGTACGTAAAAGAGTATGGTAACTCACCACTAATTTCTCTCCTAGGTGACTAAACACATTTTCCAACTCCAACACTTGCATTTGCAACCTTTTCTTTGCTTACCTATGTCATATTAGTATCTGTGTTTCCACTGTTCTAACTACTGCAAACACAAAACTTGTCCCTTTCACATTTTTCCTACAACTTCTTTTGTTGTGTTCCTTTTCACCACACTTACCACACCTCAATGAAATATAGAATTTTCTCAGTTTTGTGGGATTTGGATTGGGATTTGCTTGCACATCTGGTTCTCTTCTTCTTAGTTTCTCTTGGCCTGCTTGGTTGCTTGTGGTGAAATGGAGGTAAAGGAAGAACTTCAGGTGACTTAGCCCATAGCTTGGAGCCATTGATTGGATGAATAATATTCTCATAGGCTTTGAGGTCAGTGTCCTTCTTATACCAATCATCCACAAAATCCTTGAGCTCATCTCCTTTGTATGTAATGACCTAGATTGCATGTGAGCATAGAATACCTGTCAAATCTAATATTCTACAAGTAGAGGTATGTTCCTTCACATCCACAACAAATTGATCCTCATAATAGTACCTAACCTCAAACTGTGATCCTTTAGTCCAATAATTAATGCAAAAGAAGCTTTTTTCTTGTTCTTCTTTAAAATTTCCTAGATTTTAGGGCATATCTTACCCTCTCATTTTTTCATTTCATCTTGCTTTGCAAACAACCTCTTCATCAATAGACCCCTTATTCTCTCCATCATTGTTATAATAGGCCTGACACAATAATCTCATAGTTTAGCATAATGTTCTGCCTGGCTACCTTCAACAATTTTTATAGCTTTTTTCTTTGTTTTGTAATATTGATCCCTAGAAAATTGAGTTGATGCTCCTTCATTACCTTTTCTATAATTGCCTCAACAAGCCAAGTAGGATTCCCTCTAAAATCATCCAAATAAGTCTTAGTCAACCATATAGAATTTTCATTTGACTTTTAAATGACTTGCAACATAAGTGTTTACCATAGAATGTTTTGACTTGAAAAGTTTTTCTATCATCCATAATAGATGCATAAATCAGCCACTTGCACTTTCATTTGCAAAATGCTCCGAGTCTCACATGATCATTTTTCTTAAATGTTATCTATTTTCCCTCCCTAATTGAATGTTCCTTTATTGCTTCTTTGAACTCAATAGCTAATCCAAAAAGCATCCCCAACTTGAATATTGGATTCTTCCTATCAGTCTCAACTCTAAACTCAGGATATTTTGGCATTCTCTTATTATTACCATCTTTATCTAATGATAAACCATCTATGCTCAATAGTTCACCAAATGGTGCATATTCTGACTCAACACCATCATTCTCTACATCACCATGGTATGCTGATTTCTTATTTTCTACACCCTTTCTAGTATCAGTCACACCTACCCAGTCAACATCTATGTCAAAATAAGCATCATACAGTTTATCATCTTTTTCTACATCATAGTCATGCCATGAAAATCAAACCCATTAGAATAACTATCACTGGCTTCACTGTTTATCTGAGCTTCATTATGTATGTCAACCCTAGTAATTTCATTGCCTCTATCAACCTCATTTGTTGCATTGTCTCTCTCAAACTCAACTCTTTCATAGCCTATGTCAACCCCAACACTTCCATTCTCTCTATCAACCCCAACACATTTATTGTCTTTGTTAACTCCAAAATTTTCATTGACTTTATCTACATTGCTTATGTCCTTAGCACATTCATTCCCTTCCTCCACATTTGTATAAACCTCGTTAGCAACAAGCTTACCATACTCCAACAAATATGGTTGCTTATTATTTTTGGTACTAGATACAGTAGTTACCTGACTCTCTTCTAAATCATTCAAATCTTCGTCATCGATCTCCTCAATAATAATAGAATGTCTAATCTAACTATCTACATCATTTCCTAAATCTTCCTCATCAAATACATCAAAGAGTGACCTATGTTCAATGTATAAATTAACAATTATGTTGGGATATAGGGAATTAAACATTGTGAACACTTGAGTATCAATATACAAGAAAAGCAAACCATTATCCAAATTCTTGTATGGTATCAGAAAATGATACTTGAGAATCTCTTTTTTGAATCCTAAACCCCTCGCCATCTTATCAAGTTCAAATAAAGACATGAAGTCTAGATGTCTATGGTGGAAGAAACCAACCCTACCTCCAACATATTCCTTATGTGGGTTGTCTTGAAATACCCTATCATGGAAAAAATATTCATTGCAACAGTGATATCATATCAGCATTGATGATATGGTATTACCAACCAATAATGTATAAGCAAATAGGGAAATGAACCATGAAATTATAAATTTTGGGACCACTTCACCAACATTGCCGAATTTCTTAATACATTTATGACAAATCTAGGAACCATATGCATATTAAAATCAGAGAATGTAAAATGTCATATAAAACAATAAACTCGTATAAAATAATCACAGATTGCATGCAAGAACTACTTCGTGATCTATGTCCACTTCATGGGAAAACCATAATATCACCACCACATAGATTTGGAAATGGAAAAACATATCATGCCATTTTTTCCCAATAAAATCGATGATTCAAAAAGTGAATAACAGATAAAGTTCAAGCTTTTTGGTACTTGATTTATCGTCTTCTGAATTCAAGTCATCATCTTCACCTCGTTGACCATTGAACCAATCGGCCATTACAAAAGTGTCTGAAACCCTAATGGGATAAAAAACAACCCTTGATTTCAATACTAATAGTTGTATATCTGAAATCCCCATATCAAATTTTGAATCCTAGTTAGGAAGACCATCGATTTGGCTTCCTCACATGGCTGAACATGTTAAATTGGCGGGAAGGTACGTTACATGACTACATTACCCTTCCAACTCCATCATATGATGCTCACATGCTATTTTTCGCTGCTTTTTCATACGAAAGTTAGGAATAAGGACCAAAATCAATCCATATGTTAGTATGCAGGATGAAATTAGAACTACGGGGATAAAAGTACAACAAATAATAAACTTCAAGGACTAACGGTGAAATTTACCTTAAATTAAAAGAATATCAATAGTCAAAATTACTTGTTCACTATGATACCCCAACGTACACTCAATGATAAGAAGTCATTCTTCACTATAGTGTTGAAATTTTGGTACCATTGTGTTATCCGTCAATAATGGGTCTCACTTAACTGCGTTATAACTAATTTGTTAAGAATAAAATTGAAGAGAAAGTGTATTGATATAAATCTCATTCCCATTTTTAAATCCTATTATTTTATTTTTTTTGGTTATTTTATGATCAATAAATTGCAATTAATCTATATTTATACTATTTATAAATGTCAACATTTGTGAAAAATTTTTGATTTTCTATTTTATCCCAAATTATTATGATAAAGTCTATTATACCCAACTATATACATTCATCATTTTATTTGACTTTCAACTTGTTTTTGGACTCTTTTATAAGAATTTTTAAATTTTTTTGAACTCATTTAGTAATAGTACAGTTACATAATTTTTTTTTATATCTATATGAAGAAGTAAGTCTTATATATGTTAAATTATTATGCACATATAGTTACCGGATTAAATTCTACAATCAAATATATACATTTTATTTTTTGGTGTGCAACAATAATAAGTAATCTAATCAATCTATTTAACAAACTAAAGAGAGATTCCTAAATAAATGATAAATTAGGTACACAAAAATTTATAGAATAAAGTAGTAATTAAATTTAGTAATAATTAAATATGGATTAATTAGTTGACACCTAATATAATTCATATTTATAAAAAAAAATATTATTTAAATTTATTTACGTGTAACGGACGTTAACATTGCTTAAGCGTCATTAATTACTAAGTTTCCTCTCCTGTGAAACACGAGCAACGTTACGTAGGCTTTATTTGAAGATTTTATCATTATGTCATCAAATTAATAATGGACCCCACTATCAGTTAGAATTCATTATCAATTTAATTATTATGATTAGTGTTGATAATCGAATAAGCTCAATCCTTAACTGAGCTTAAAAAACTATTCAACTTCAACTCGTTTAGCCGAATCTAAACGAGCAGAACCTAAACCGAGCCTGAGTATTTGCACATAAATGAGTCGAGTCTATCAAGTTCGAGTTGAGATTGTCCGACTCGTTTTTCAAACGAATCTAAAAAATTATTCAAGTTCGGCTTGTTTATAAAACGAGTCGAGTTTAAACGAGCTGAGCTAGAACAAGTTGAACCCGAGCTGAGTTCTAGTAACTCGGTTTGATTAATAGCCCTAATTATGATCCATCATGTCACCCAAGATCATTAAATAAGGTACAAATAGTATTTTCCACGACGATTGCTATTTATTTGGTTTGTCCAAGGTTTTCTTATTAGAACAAATTCGTTGAAATTTGAATTAACATTTGAGTAAAAAAATTTTACATTTAAAAGAGGCAAAATTCAAATTTAAAGTAAGGTAAAATTTGACCACTGAATTTTTAAAGGAGAATAAAAATTTAACCATTGTTAATTTGAGTAAATGTTTGAATCTCCCCTTATTTGAGTAAAAAATTTGAGTCTATTAGTTTGATATGGATTTGGGAATAAGATTAAAGATAATTTTTAAGCTATTTTTTCTCAAATTTAAGTTTGAGTTTAAAAAAAAGGTAAAGATCAGAGATGCTTTATTATTACTTTTAGACAATGGAATTGCATGGCATTTAAGAGCCCTTCTGGTTGAAAACTTGAAAATCCAAAACCCAGGAGAGAGAGAGAGAGAGAGAGAGAGAGAGGGGTTGATATCAGATAATAACAGATGATTAGGCAAGTGGGCAGCGTTATTAAAATAATCATCGTCATATTGACAAATGAATTCCTTGGTCAATAATTCATTTTTCAGAACAGATACGAAGTAGGGTGATCGCCCTCTCAACGACCAGATTAAGGTAAAGTTTAAAGATATGTGTTATACTCTATTAATACCTCAGTCCCTCTAAAAGACGCTGTACATGCGTTTCTGAATTGAGTAAGACGTTCATTTTCTCATGACCCCATTTGTTAAAGTAGATACAGATCCCAATCAGTGGTGAGGAAAGGGATGCATAAATAATTTAACAAGCAAAGATAAGTAAATTTGTGTGACAACTATCATCATTCATGTAATGGACAACTATCGACGGTTGGTTGCTTGCTTGCTTGCACAACAAATTTATCGAAAGAAAGTAACATAGTAAACTCTGCTAAGTTTTTATTTTGTTGCAAAACTTTACCAACATTTCCACGATTCTGTCTAGAAAAGGAGAAAAAATTTGTTTATGATCGCCTCTCGAAAGGTGGAGGTGGATTGGAATAAATTTGAGAACAGAACCTGCAATGAATAGCCCATTTCTCCGATCCTTGTCAGGTGCATAACATCATAGCTGCTGATTGAGGTAAGGGTCTACATTAGATTTACTCACGGATCCCAAATACCCTGAAACAGTCCCAGAAACGCTTGAAACAACACTATTTAACCAGGAGGTGCTGCGGGTCAATAAACTGGGTTGTGTTTGCTCTTGTACTTCAAGCATGCTCTTCCTTTCTTCCTCTTCCAGTATGTCTAGCCACCTCTTGGCCATAAAAAATTTGACAGCTTCAACACCTTCGTTCACAACCACCGTTGGAGGAATCACAAGAGGGTTTTGGTCCAAATTCAGCTTAGTCAGATTGTCAAGCCGGCCAAATGTATCAGGCAGTGCATGGATCTGGTTGTTGCTCAGATCAAGTTCTTTAAGGCTGGTTAAATCACCAAGCGTATCAGGAAGTTCAGTTAGGTCACTGAAATTACTGCTCAGATTGAGGATCTCAAGATTGGTCAATCTTCCTATTGCAAGGGGAAGGCCACGGAGTTCATTGAAATGTACGTCTAGAAGGCGCAAGGAACTCATCTCACCAATAGAACTGGGAAGAGAACGAATCTTGTTTAGATGGATTGAAAGCCTTCTGAGATTCACCAATTCATAACCAATGTTTGTTGGCAAATACGTCAGTTTATTGAAACTTGCATCAAACTCCACCAATGACCTGAAGCGAGATGCTAAACTAAATATCTGATGACATATACAAGGGAGAAAGAATGAATGACATTTGTTTTGTGTTTATCAGAAGTACCTGCAATGACAGATGCTATCAGGCAAGGCAGTGAGCTTATTTCCAGAGACATCTAAGATCTTCAAATTTAGCAACAACCCAATAGAATCGGCCACTGACACCAAAACATTTGACGAAAGATTGAGCTCCTCGAGATTTTCTAGTCCGGCAATTGAATCAGGAATGACCTGTTTCCCAACCACTAATTTTGCGTCAAATCGAACAAATCTTTTTCAATGCCGAATTGTTTCATCAAGAAGTTCATGCATATGGCATAACAATTTTTGAATCAAATCCCATAGGCAGTGTTGATTATCAAGATTTGAGTGGGTCAAATGACTCCACTACAGTGCATGTGGCTCCCCCATATCAGTAACCATTAGTACAGCGAAGCTAAAAAAAGACAGATAAATTCAACTCATAAAAGACACCAACTCAATAAAACTTAAACAGCATATGGGAAGCATTTTTGCATTCTCAAAATTATAAGATATTTGTCCCTTTTCCCGCTACAGCAAACTCCTTTCGCTAGCAACAATGGTTCCAAAAATGATGCTTTTGTCATTTTTTACCCTCCACCCTGTTTGTAAGACTTGCAACAGGTTCATGCATTATTTTACACTCAGAAAAAAATTAAATGAAGTGTAACTCACAACCGCTTAGCATGTATTGAAATACAAATGTTGTTGTATACCATTTTAGCTCTTAGGATAAAATGACAAGAAAACATTCACCTTGATCCAAACTATTTGGAGTCGAATTTTAGAATAAAACCGGACACAAATGCAGGAAGCAGAAAACTTCCCAAAATACATTTCGATAACTTCACCTAACCTCAATGATTTCAACAACTAAGGCGAACACCCTTAAAGCAAAATATATTTTTCAAGTTTATGTGGACAACACCGGACTTTAGCAACCCCATCAGTTATCAGTTTAGTACACAGTCAGACAGTAACATATCTAAACCATTATGCCATCAATACAGCACTAGTTATAAAAGCAGTAAAAACTCTCATATGAAGACAAACGACTGATTTCAACAAATCACGAGATTAAATTCAATGAAAGAGAAAAGAGAAACGCAAAAAGCCTAACCTCCAGTTGATTGTTGGACAAATCCAGCACAACCAATCTGCTAAGCCTTCCAAACGCCTCCGGCAAAAACCTCAACTTTCGTCCTGACAAATTCACCCTCTCAATCCCCTTCCTAGACGGGTCCTGCAAGATCCGCACCACTTCCTCATCAACTTCCTCCACCACCTCCGGATTCTCTTCCATGGAATCATCGCCAGCCGCAGCTGTCTCGTAGATCTTCTCCAACCTCTCCTCCGCCTCCTTCAACATCTTCTCATACGACTCGTGCATTTCATCTAGGGAAACCACCGCCTTGTAGATTTGCCTCTCCTTCTCCGCCGCCTCACGACACTCCTCCTCCTTCTCTGACAATTGCGCCCTCCATTGAAGACTGTCGACCTCCGCCGGCCTCGGAGACAACCCAATCTGTCCCAAATCATTCGCCAATTTCGCTTCAATTTCATCTATCTTCGCCTTAGCAGTGTCAACCGACTCATGATCAGGCCTTTCACCTAGTGTTTGGAGTATGGACCGTGTTTGGGCGACATCAGCGACGGCCAATCGCATTGAGGCAATGACTTTGGAGTCTGTGAGGTGAGGCATCTGCTCTGTGAGCTCGAAGTGAGGTTCTTTCGAAGTGGAAACACTGGCGGACGGTGGAAGCGGTGGTTGTTCGATGTCGAATTCGGAGGTGGTGGTGGCGCGTTTGGGGGCGATACTGGGTAGTTTGGACATGACATAGGAGAGGATTGGGAAGTTTTTAGGATTTGGATCCATTTTTGTGATGATCTGGAGGGACAAACAGTGAGAGATAGTTTCAGAGAAGGTGCGAGAGGACTTGAATGGTGAAGGTTGATCTACTCTTTGGAATTTGGGTCCATTACCGTTCGATCGAGAGAGAGAAGAGAAGAGAGACGGAGAAGCTAACGAAGGTTTCTACTATGCGTGAAGTTATTAACTTTTAAGTAAATATCACAATGACCACTTAAACTTTTATCTTTTATTATAAAACAGTCCTTCAACTTTTAATTTTCTCACTTTAACCACTTAATTATCAAATTTATGTTGACAAAATTCTTCCATCCATTTCACCGGTTAGGACAAACGGAAACAAGCCCACGTATTTGTCATGTTACCATTCACATGGCATGCTTCTTATTGTTTTGATGGTTTAAATCGACGAAATAACTCAATTTACACAAGATTAATAAAAAGATAAACTAAATTGATAAAGCCTATAAAACAACAAGCGACCATCATTCTTTCATTATAAATTGAGATCTTCTTTGAACTTGACGTACAAATAGATGCAATAACAACAAAAAAGTATTTTTTTAGCCTGTATATTCGTAAAATTCAATCTCATTTAAAAATATTATATTAATTTTTTTGTATCAAACTTATAAGAGAAAATGATGATAAAATTTAAACCCACGACCTTAAAAACTAACAACAAAACGAGTACTATTAGATTGACAAACAAAATTACCCTTGAAATTTTTAGAAAAAAAAAACACAAATTAGTATTCATTACCGTTGGAGAGAGAGAGAGAGAGAGAGAGAGATGATATCTAATGATCCAGTACAGGACACAATGTTTTTGACATAAATTATCAAAAAAGGAATGGGAAAAAAATGTTACCATTGTTGATGATAATGAACAATGAGCATGGTTAACACTGGGATCCGTGAACAGAGATGATTCATCCTCAAAAGTTAAAATTACAGCCTGATACCTTAAAAAAAAACTACAGAAATTCTCAAACTGCCTTTGTTGCCTCCCTCAACTTATTCCCAAAGATGAAAAAAATACTGAAATACAGTAATTGTCAAATGGAACTATGTTATCGACTGGCCAATAAAATCTCGCTTTCAACTAGCTCAAATATTTCTTTTAAGCGGCGGGTGAACTTGTCGGTAATATTCTGGGTTATTCTTCCTTGAAACTTGGTGTTTTTCAGCCATGTCACGCCGAGATAAACATCACACTTGCATGACCTTGGAACAAGATTGGAGTTCTCAATCTGGTATCTGAACTGGACCTGCATATGGAAGAATGTTTTATAACTTGGACATGCTCAATTTAGTTTGATAAGATGCGATGACTAGGGGTTAAGCGATGGAGGTTTGAAATCGACAGCCATATGAATCACTAAAATATGAAATCCCAAATAAAACTGTTGTCACTTACACGGAAGTGGTTGCCAAATGGGACATTATGTAGGGTCATAGTCTCATTCACAATCCAGCCTCCATCATTGGGAATGGGAGCCTTTTGTTGTGTGGAAGTAACTTCCCCTCCAAAGATGGAGACCCGACGGTTGAATTTGTAGGATAGATGTCTTTCAAAAGCATCGGGAGTTCCAGGTTCCCAAGTAGTAGTCACATAATTGAGACAACCAGATTTTCCCATCACTTCATGTTCCAAGTTTCCCCCATCAAACACCTCCATGATTGAATTTATCTACACCATTAGACAACACTGTTTCAACATCCATATCGAGTCTTGAGTAAACATATTGATAAAACCAATCATGAAAAATTTGCAAATCATTGAAGCCCAGTATCCCCTCAATTTTAGTTCCCATCTCCCAAAAAAAGAACACAAGACCAACTCGGTGATAAAATGGAAACTGTAAGGTATCTTGTGTTCACCTTCTTTGAATGCAACTTTAGGGTACTCATTCACATACCTAGCTGCTTCTTTCAAGGACCAAGCCTAGAGTTTGGGAGTGGCATCATTTGTTATCTGATTAAACAGCTTAGTTCCAGTAATACAATGATGTTATGATATGATAAGAATATACAAGCTCCTGGAATAAAGTCTTTTTCAATGTAACCTTTCCTAGATGGAAGTCAAATGCCTCACATCTCGATAGATGTAACATGGGAACCTCAAACGTCCTATCTTATTTGCTTGTTTTTCCCTCTATCTGTATCTCTAACTTGAGGTTTGGCTAACTCACATAACGAGAACATCATGTAGATTATCAACTAAGAGATGGAGGGCTCCAAAAGCTGTGAAATGACCACTTACATTAACAGGAAAATCAGCAGAGTAAACCTTGGACATGTTTGCTTCTTCAACAACCAAACAGGATCCAATGTCTTCAAGCAAAATAGAATTCCCATCTTGATCCTGCTGCTCTTCAGCTATTTGGGCTTTCTGATCTGGAGTCAGAATTCTTGTTCTCCACATTGCCATAATAGTCCTGTCAGTGCAATAGAGTAATTCATCCTGCTGGCTACATTGAATGAGTAAGAAACATTCCGCCAATGAGCAAAATTATCTCTCTACCTGCTGGCTACATTGAAGGAAACAAATGAATGGAAATAGAAACGCAGCCTTCCTTCTTCATCTTGAGATTTTGCACCATGCCTAGCATCAAGACCTCGGCCCTTCCGCAGAACTATTACCAGTATGGGGCTGCCCACGGATGCCAGGGATGGAGGGAGCACTTGAATATCCTCAATGTCCTCCCATAGGAAGAAAATTTTGGTTTTATGACCAAACAAGTTCGCATAGAAACTTACACTTCTGGCAGATAGGAAAAGTCGACCCTGCGCCAAAATGATGTCTCAAAGCCAAGCTGTAGAATCTTGAACTCGAACAGGTCCACAAGGATGGAAAAATTATTAAAAACGAAATTTTAACTCCTAAAAACCTAGAATATGTAGCAAAAATGAAAGATACAAACACTTCATAGCAATAGGCTACCCAAGTTCTCAATATGTTGTATGGGTGTTTAAAATTAATCCACTTGGATTTTACAGCATTTAGATGTGTTTCTTTGTTCTTATCCAACACACTCAAGATGGAAACCACTTTGTATCTTGCCAGTGATTCATATCTACTCCATGTTAGTGAATTTTCACACCACCAACTTTTGTGTTCAAATGCCATACAACACATTATGTATCAGTCTGGCTTCCATAGAGAAGAGAAGAACTGTGAAGACATCAATTTAAGCTAATTATGCTTTTTCACATTATATTAACCCCTGAAAGATGTATTTTTTTTTTTGAAAACAAAAATGGGGAAGAGGGGCGACCAGCAGGTAGTGGCCCCCCTGGGCGTGACCATGAGGGTCTCTCCCGATGTGGAATGTTCGGTTAGCCATAGCTACAAACCCCTTTGAAGTAGCCTGTCACCGCACCACCACCGAAGCACTAATGAGTAAAGCATGGGGACCCCGTGGATCGATCCCTGCTTGCTAACCTTGTGGGAGTCAGGGAACGACCCGAAACGGGCACACCTTACCATTAGACCACCAGCTCCGGTGGTCTGATTTATTGAATACCCTCATATCATTGGTCAATTGTGGACCCCTCTTCACCCCATGCATGCGCACAAAATAATATTGGAAGGAGTTGGCAGGATGGAAGACTACCAACATATTCCACTGACTTCAAAACACATTTCAGCTGTAAGAGTACCTGTAATGGCATCTTTCTTTTTAGGGAGCATGAGAAATCACTGATGAGAAATTCTTCTGGTGGCAGCCCAAAAAGTTTCTGGAACGTTGAATTCCTGTGAGGTGACCGAAGGTTCAACTGTCGAGCACAAGCCATATAATTATTTTCAAAATTTTAGATGCTAATAAAATTCCACAAGGCACAAACGGGTATATACGCCAAGCTTTACCTTTTTTCCAACTTCCTTCTCCATCTTTGTTAAATATTCTTTAATTGTTTCAACTCCATTGTTATTGTCCAAAAAGATTCGAAGGTGCAACTTTGACTGAGAATGAGCATGTTTTCCCTCGAGAGGAACCCACATGTCGGCCAGCTCTGTAGATGTGTGCTTTAAGAAATTGATTTCAGCATGTCCAAGTGAGGCAGATTGATCAAATGGACCATCAAAATCAAAAACTTCCACATCCAGCACTGAAGGTGGTTCTTCCGCTGCATCAAACTCGAGTATATCTGCTCGAGTAATGAAGTGAATCAGATGCAAACTTTGATGGTCATAGTAACAGAAAACATAAAATCTTCCAAACAAAACAAAAGCCACACCATTCCATTGAGGATCAGGAGTCTGAAGCTTGACAGAGCTGGTTCTAGTTTTACCATTGCAGGAGAACACCACATAGGGATCAGGGAACCCTGCTGAATCCAAGGAAGCTAGGTTCATCCCCTCAATTAAAGCTACAGTAAGCATCCATCCATCACCTTGGGCTTTGACTCCATGATCACTTGCTGTTAATATAACGATAGTTCAAGCAAACACTTAAGTTTGATAGTGCATCAACTTCAAAACAATTGTCAGCATATAAGTGAAGCAGTTTTACCTCTTTGCAACCTAGCTTGTACAAAATGTGATACCATGTTATAAACACGTGCTAATTGGATCGCTAAAATTCCGCAGGTGATAAGTTCTCCAAAAGTGTCTGGCAAATCAAGACCACTAAATTCTAAACCCTGCTGGTTGCTTGTTTCACAAAGTAGAATATGCACAAAGACATACAAAAACATAACAAGGGTAGAAACCATAGTAAAATTCCAAAAATATTCGGTTGCTAATTCCCAATCTGACTGATGCTCTGTCTGCAAAGTTGCCAGCACATGATCCTTGTCCAATTTGTCTTCAGTATTTAACATTTTAAAATTTTGAGCTAGCAAGCTGGCAAACTGATCAAAACTCTCCTTCAAACCTTGCCGAGCTCCTCCTTCAATCATGCCTTTCATAATTGTGTTCCGGTAAAAGATAATGCCCCATGATACCACAAGATGGGAGCATTCTTCTCTGGAAGATAGCTCTGGTCCAGGCTTTATAACATAGAGTAACACAACTTTGAACATACTTCCATATGGAACATCTGGGGTACTCACGTTCACAAAAACAGCAAATTCTCTTCCATCTGCTTTAATATAGGTTTGCTCCTCAGTGGCTTTTACAGCCTTAACTAACTTTGTTGCTGCCTTTGTGTAGGTAACAACTCGTGTTAAACATGATGTGTCTTCTTCTGATCTCCATGTCCAGGGGCCCTCTTGGACATTTGTTGTTCCTTGCAATTCCGCCAGATTTCTACTGAACTGTGAATCTGGAACGAAAAGAAACATGTTGAGATCTTTGGGTGGTACAACATATGACTGATCCAAAAGAATGCCTCCCTGAAGGTTCTCAGGGATTTCTCGGTCATCATTCATTGACTGCAGCATTTCAATAGATTCTGCAAAAGTACAGTTAGAGGGGAATTCCTCCATGCAATCCTCATAGTCAGATAGGGTAGTGGACAAGCCAGAAGAATCATCATTCTTTGAGGTTTCCTCACTCTTATGAAATAGCCTCTCTAAACGGCAGGCAATGGACTTGATCAACTGTTTACCATCTAGCATCTTTCTGGAAGGATCTGTGGACTTGAGAATATCTTGAGAAGAAAAAAATGCATCCCATTCTCTAAAACTTACATTTTTAATACTTGGAAATCTGGAGAATAAATGGTCATCACATATGTCTTGGCCTCTGTCATGCAGCGAAAGAGTGAGAAGAACTTTCCCTGCAACAATGGAGTAAAATAAATAGGTTTAGTGGCAAAAATAGTCTTGCATGGCAAAATAATCAGAGTTACAATAAGCAACATACTGTGATTACCAATAGCACTTCATCAATTTCTATGCAATATTCTTTGATTGAGTTCATTAGAAAGGTGCAATTATTCACCTTTTCTCGTCTGAGAGAAAGGGGCCACTTGTAGCAGAAACATGGAGTGCCTAAAAAATCAAGATTTATTCTTGGATCACGGGATGTTGGTTCTGGCTTTTCTCTTACCAATGGTCAAAAACCACTGGAGCATTAGACCTTCCTAACAGAATCTCAATTAAATCAGCTTATAATGATCAATGTCCATTTTAAACTATCAGCTCTGAGGAGCTTTCTGAAGTCCCATTAGCCATTATGTTAACTATGCTGAATTGTGGGAAGATCAACATAATTACCAAAAGTGTCTTTGGAAAGTTAAAAAGAACTTACTCCAAAGTCCCCAACCCAAAAACCACCCAGCTCACCTAGTACTACTACTTTTCTCGAAGGAGTGAGAGAAAAGGAAGGCGGAAGCTGTCGTTACCTGGGCAGTTTCACAGAAGCTGACATTAATAAATGACAGCATAATGAAGTACAGATCTGACATGCTCCCCTTGCCCTAAAATTTCAGACAACATATAACGATCCACATACTGTTACCAAGCTTTCTTCATGACTCCTACAAATGTAATCTAAACTGAAGAAAAACAAGAAGAATTATGCAACTGGTATTAGAAACACAACTACCACACTGCAAATCTTGTGTGTGACACAAACAACTGTTTTAATTACTAAGAATGACGACGTGCCCAAAAAATGAATAACGTTTACAGGTGTTTATGAAATGATAAATACTTACTCATTGGATACTAAATAAAAATTACCAGCAAGCACAATGGAAGATTTTCGCAGCACTTAAAAAATTAGCAGCCAAAAGTCGAACATCTCATTGCCATTATGCTTATTCCTACGTACAAATGCTTTGCACATGATGTTCTCTTGTATAGAAAAACTGTCAATATCTGACAATATAAATTTTTATAAAACAGTACACTGAAGCTGAACACAAACTATCAGCTGCAGCAGAGTGGTTAGGATGTCGCATTAGCAAAATCTGCTACTCATCATTAACAATTGATTACAAGCTAATAGCAGGTGGTAGATCAAGTTAATCACTAAAATATACAGAAATACCGAATTAACTAATAAAGTAGACTTGGCCAAGATCTAGCATGTCATTGCCCTAAATGCAAGACATCAAATGGAAAAGGGTGTGGTGTGAGCTTCCTCAATCATTGCCCTTTCATTAAACTAATCCAAAGAAAACAACAAGAATAATTTGAACTTTTCATAAACAAATCAATTCACTTTGAATCTTATGCATGAGTGTCAACTATGATGGACTCATTCAACTCCCAAAGGAAATTCAAATGCCCCATATATCCCTCAAGCCTACTTGTGTTGCAAAATGCAATTTTCACCAAAAAAAAAATTCTCCTTGGAACACCAGAAACAACTATTCACAGCACATCGAAGATTCTCATGGTACTTGAATTACAGCTAAAAAAGGGCGGCAGCCCACTGCACGAGACTCCCTCCACTATTGCTATTTGTGAAAGTTAGATGTATACCGTAGCATTGCAAAGAGGCTGTTTCCGCTGTTCAAACCCTTTCACACCTGTGTCAAAATAAAATAACCTTACACTGCACCAAAACTCAACCTCCAAGCAATTAACACGTCTGTCTTTGTTCTCGTGACTGTTTATATAACGTTCACATTTAATGGAAAAGACCGTTAAAATTATGTCCCTATAGCCCTGACAAAACGGGCATATACCGACTAACATTGGTGCACAGGAATCCAATTTTCCCCAATTCTAGTGAGTGAATGTTCAATTTTATAAAACTCTAGTCCATAAATCAGCCTATCACAAAGCGCCAACATATAACAGAACAAGTTAAACAAAGACAGTGGCACTCACCGGAATCTTTGTTGATTGAATTCGATGTCTTGGGTTTTTCCAGAGAAAACCAAGTGGGTGGCAAGTTCTGGTTCTCTTCGGCAGCAACGGACCCTATTGGAATCCGGAGCCGAGCCACTAAATCCCCAGAGGCAGTGAAGAACCCAGAATCATCATGGTGCTGATACACAGAGACCACAAGTTCATCCTCCATTTCATGAACTCTGAAAACAAACTCTTCATTCCAAACTGGGTTTTCAGTGTTCCTAAGAACCCTTGTTTTGGACTTGAACTTACCAACTTGAAGCTTCACATATGAGTCCGTCACCACCCAGTCCCTACCCTCCAACAAATAAACATATAGCCTCATTATCATTTCTTTATAACTGCTGTACTAGTTATTGAAACAGAACCGCTTTTAATAGTTTTTGTTGTGGAAGAAAAGAAAGCAATGGAGGCGGTGGTGTTAACGGTGGTGGTAGATGTATGGGGAAGAGAGATAAAATTGTGGGTGATGCCATGAAGAAACGTGGGTGCGAGTTGAAAGTGACACGAGGGGGTATTATAGATTAGTGCGAGAAAACTTAGCAATGGAAACTTCCACCCAGAGAGAGACAGAGAGACCTGAAAAGGGTCGGTTGTAAGTCATGCGTTTTGTTTTGGCAATGCCCCCTCGGTGGACCTTATGGGATTTTTTATTTTTTAAATTAATAGGGGTATTCAGATTAATTTATACGTATTTTGATTAATTTTTTTATTCGTCTAATTAAATGTAGGTCACTAGACCATACACATGAGATTAGAATATTTATGAGAGATTTATATCCTTCATGATCTGATCCCTCAAATTTAAAACGTCTGAAATTACAATTCATCTCGTTTGTTTTTATTATTATTTCAACTTCTCGTTCGAATTTATGATTTTAATGTTTAAAATATTATTATTTAAATTTAATTTATTAGTTTAATTAATTAATAATAAGCCATAATATTGATTTAGACCCATATTGATTCAAACCCACAACTTACTCAATTATTAAGATAAATTAGATTAATAAATTAGATCTATAAAATATTATTAAATATTAAAATTCATAACCTGATGAACAAGATTTATATGAATGTATCCTCCTTATTTTCAAGGAAAAAAGGGGTATAGGAGTAGCTAAACGGGTTATAGGGATTAGACATTAGCCATCCAAACAAATCTACTGAGCTGTTGAATGGAATTTTTAGTGGCTTTTTAGAATATTTTCGACAGGACATGTAATATTTTAAAATAGTTAAAATTTAGTTATACATAGGCAAAATATATGCTCTAACAAAAAATATTTAAAATAGATAAAATATATTTTTGTTAGAGTGATACTCTATATTTAGAGTATCACTTTATTATGTATAAATAGTTTATAATATATGCTCTCTCCTCTTGTCATTTTTCACCTCTTTTGTTCATTCTTTATCTTTTTCTCGATTTTTTCTCTCCCTCTCTTTAATAGTTCCAACAAAAGTACAAGATATGAGAAATAATATTTAAAAGTAATAGTTAAAATATAAAAAATCTGTTAGAATATGTATTGAAAAAATGAGTAGTTAAAAAAAAATGTACTTTTGAATAATTAAAATACAAAACTTTGTTAGAGATGCTCTTATGGAGGTTAGCTAAAAACATCTAACATTACTATTTTTTTTTTTAGTTCAATGTTCAGGAATGTCTAGTTCAATTTATACTCATTTCGATTAATTTTCTCTTTAGTCTAATCAAAGACTGGTCATACACGCGAGGGCTAAAATATTCATGAAGGATAAATTCATCATTCAAAAAATTATCAAGATTCAAATTCAAGATATCTGAATTTACAGCTCATTCTTGTTATTACGTGGCTAAATAATTTCATATTGTTTTGTTGTGATGTGTCTCTGTTTATCAAGCGGTGGGTACCCATTTAGTATTGGGCTAAGAAGGACCATGCATGACATGGAGACATATTGATACCATGCTTGAGAGCTAATTTTCAATCTCAACAGGTTGATTACTTGAATATGAAGTATGGCAAATGCAAAACAGTGGGATACAAGAGCAAAAAATATATTTGATATCAATCTTGAAATGGTGAATAGTTTGTTTTTTGTTACTTAAGTTTTTAATAAATTTGGTTTGGTTTTCGAAATCATTGTATTTGGGTCTTGCTTATTATCTCAAATTCGTCGTACTTAATGCACAAAGTACCAATCTATAACACGGTCCGAGAAGGTAAATCACAAGCAACATCATCCAGAATTATGATTCCGACATCAATATACGTAATTAATTTCCTTTAGGTAATTGGGAGGCATATGTTGTCGATCTATTGCCTAGATTCCTTATTAGATTGTCTTGTATTGAACATTTACTCATGCTACTTATCTACTGTTTTGAATTGATAATAAACTTTATTTAATATTAAAACTCACTGCTTATCTATCGATAACGAATTAACGATATGTGAGGTGCCCAAATTAAGTGATACTAATATTTTCATTCCTTCAACCATGAAGAGATTTTGTAGATAGGAATAAAACTGGACCACTTTCTTTTGCAATTTGACTTTCAACACATGGGATAAGGAATAAATGCTCTTATCACATGACTTATTCTGGAATTTGGCCATGACAATCTAGTAAGTGGGTTGCCAACTTGATTTGGTATTTGTGTATTAGTGTATCCCCATGTGGCCAACCAGATATTACACTACTCTAATCTTGAAAGCAAGTTTAGAATATGTTACCTAACTTCCTCAAATCTTGGCTTAAATTGTCCAATTTGAAAATTGTTTTAGCAAGCTCTGAGGGTATCTTAAGTAGTAATAGAGACGAGTTTGTAAATTCAAATGTTCTGAATTCAAACATTGACAATTTCTTAGGGCAGATTATGAGGGATTTATCCTTTACAAATACCCTAATCCCGGCATGGATAACTTGCATTTGACCTGACCAAGAAGGGGATTAGTCGAGGTATGTATAAATTGATCCGAATACTCCTAATCATTGAACCAAGTCACTATTATCACATGGAGTTACAATTTAATGATAAATAAACAAATTAGCAAGGTGAAATCAATTTTCTATATGTGCAATATTACTTAACCTTCATTTATTGACATAATTATTCATAACCATTGGATTGACTATAGAGCCCAATCTTCGATGGAGTCTACTGGCAATCCAATAATTGTGATGAATTATATTATCAAATTATGTAAAGAATGTCGCTGTGAAAACAAGGTGAAGATGAAGTTGTGGATTCTCAGCAGCATTAACTTCCTTTCTCAACATCGAACCTATGAGAAGTTATGCAACAGCAGCAACAACAACAACAACAATAACAAAAGTAATAGTACACATTGCCATTGCAAAATCTCTTGAACTCCCTATCATCACGTAAATCACCAGTGGAACAAAGCTCGAATCTACATCTTCAAATTCACAATTCTAAAAAATTTTAGTTATATTTTGTTTCAATGTAACTGTTTTTGTTTTAAATGTTACTATTTTTTTATTTTTTTCTTGAAATATTAATATTCAATATTACTAATTTTTTGTTTTGAATCTTAATATTAAATGTTACTATTTTCTAAAATGCACTATTTTTTGTTTTGAAAGTTTCTATTTTTTATTTTATTTTATTTTTTAAAATATTAATATTCAGTCTTACTATTTTTTTTGAAATCTTAGTATTGAATATTACTATGTTTTTATTTTATTTTCTGAAATGTTACTATTTTTCAAAATGTTATTTGTTTTTTGTTTAAATGTTATGATCATTTTGAATGATACTATTTTTTATTTTGAATGTTAGGAAAAAAAATGTAATGTTAGTAAGTTTTTATTTTTTAAATTTATTTTAATTAAATGTACCTGTTAAGAGTATTTTAGACCATAGAGAGTTCGAAATTCACTTATTTTCAAACAAAATTTTTGAGTGGACTCCCAAATTTCCCAAAAATTTCTGAGATGGGCCTACTTCACTTGAAAGAAGCCCAATCCAAAGCGGTAATGGCCTCTTTAACCAGGGCCTCCGGAGAGAGAGAGAGAGAGAGAGAGAGGGAGATGATGCAGTATCCGGCATTTATGATGGAGTACCCGTGGTCGACGAGGATGATTCCGACTTCGTTTCTGCTTTCAGCTCAGTGGCCCCAACCCCAAAATGATGAGCTCCTCCTCCTCGCCATGGAGGAGTCCGATTTCGAAGAAAAGGTTTCACCTTCTTCCTATTCTTCACATCTATATATCGTTCTTGGTACCAAGAAAGTTAGGTTTTGAATGATATTGACGTATAATTTTAGATTTTTCTGTGTAAGTTCTCTTTGATGCTTAACACTGTATTAGGGCAATCATAACTTCGCTGGAGTTGTGATCTTGTAATTTCACTAGTCTCTGTTGATTGTAGGGTTTAATTACTGTACGGGACATGGTTATGTTAGATTCATTATAATCATTTTTACACGGAAATTTTAACTTAATTTGAGAACCTAATTTAATGCGATGGTTGGATTGGAAGTGGTTTCATCTAATATTAGAATTTAAAATTCACAACTAATCCAATGTATTAGTCTCTAATTGCTTATGGATTTATTCAATTAACCGGAAAAGACAGCCAGTGGAACTGATAATTACCTCCTAATTAAAATGAAGTCTATTCAATGAATGTTTTAACTTATCTTCAAGCCTAATTAATTAATGAATTCTAGCAGTGAAGCAGTTTGGAATTGAAACAAACTGGATTCAAACTTACAAAAATGTTCAAAGGAAATTAGATGGGTGGACTTCCAGTTAGATAGGATATTTCCCATGTCCACTTATGTGGTCTGTTTCTGCAAGCGACTAGATTTGAAGGTCGGTAATGAAGATATTTTGGTTTATGTGCTGCTTGATGCTTGGCATTTGGCATAAAGCAAGAAAGTATCAATAAGGCCATTGAATAAAACAGAAAATTTTATGTTACTCATTGCCAACTTAGTTTTGATCAACATAATCGATAAAAATTGAATTTCCTAATTCCATTAGGAATCAGGATGATACAGTGAAGTACGAGGTTTTTAAAACTACAAGTTTTGATGTCTGTATTAAGAGTGGGATGGTGTATGTTTGGAAGACGCATTTCATCGTCCCCCTTAACAAGCGAAGCCTATAAGTGTGACTAAGAAAATATCTATATGAAAATCAAGGCTTCAGGGGGCTGATGTAAATATTGGTCTTACCTTCATGTCATAGTTTGCTCCTGAACAACTTTGCATTCAGGGTTTTTTTATAAGTTTGTTGTGACTGTTCCCTTTTTACATATATGCATATGTAGATTTTATGTTTAGACTGTTACTTTCATCCGTCTCTATGTACAAGAGTGACCAATTTCCAAAAAGGATCATTAGGTCCTCTCTTTGGAAATTACAGATATCATATTGTGTTTGAATAAACTAAAGATTCTTCCTTCTCTTCGTTTCCCTTTACGCTGAGAAGCCTGAGATACAGTTAGGAGAAAGCTTTTATATTCAAATTATAGAGAAGACCCCCAAAATTTATCAAGGTTTTGTTCTGGGTGGGATGACTACCTATATCTTTGACCTCTGACACTCTTGGATAGCCACAAAGTGCATACAACTATCATTGATCATAGTGGCAAACTCTATTGTGGGATATTGAGTCACCAGTAGCTGTAATGCATAATGCTTACCTCTTCTATTTGTACTTCATATATATGATGATTCTGAGTGACAGGTTTATTAAACTTTGTAGCATACTTGAATCTCATGGAAAGTTTGTTGATGAATTAATTTGGATTATGTTTGCAGTGTAATGAAATCAGAAAGGCAAACATCAATTTGATTGTAATTGGGAAGACGACTGTTGATAATGATAAAGAAGACTTTGATAATGATGTGGATGATGATGATGCTGACAATGCAGAAGAGTCTGAAGGTGATGAATTTGAGCAGGAAACTGGTTGATCATAGCTGCTGCCGCAGATTAAGTTTCGCTCTAAAGAGCCTAGAAAAGACATGTTTCATACATTGAGGTTTTACCTTCATCAAGCACATGCCCAAGCATCCTGATTGTTTGCTTCTATGCATTAAAATTGACTGGTTGTATCAATGACTTGTGTGCAAATGTTAGAGGACGGACCTATGTACAGTGGCAAACTTGCTATATTGCGAACAAGCTCTGGATCTTAGCGTTTGTGTTGAAAAAACTAATGAAAAATTATTTCACAATCTCTTTATCTATTTGAGTTTTTTATTGTACCAATTTCAGTTCTCCCCCGGAGATACCAAAGTATCCATCCTAAGGAGTATAGAAAACATGGTGAACATGATGCAATATGAATGGTTTTGAGAGAGATATTGGTAACTATTAGATGAATCTATTTGAAACCATTAGATGGATTTATTAAAACATGTCTTATTTTATATTATAGATATATGCCTTATTTTGTATTATATTTTTGTATTTAATATTTTTGCCATTAGATATAATGCCATTGTAAGATAAAAACATATTTTATGTCCATCTTTTGTCAATTCCTTTAAGCAATCTTGCATGTTACGTGAGTTTTCCGACTAGTAACTGTAAATCAAATTTGACACGACTCCCCGTTTCCCATTACATCTAATCAAATCAGATAGGTGTCATTTTTGCGTACGCAATTTTGAAAAGATATTTTTTTTTTTGAAAAATACTATATAACTTAAAATAAAATTTAAAAATTATAACCAAAATATATAGAATGAGTGGATTACGTTAAAAAAATTGATAGGACTCACTCATCCGAAATATGATACACATTTGAATTATAGTTTTTTAGGTTCTATTTAAGTTATATAACATTATTTTTTTTCTAGTACTTGGGATTTTCTAATCACAATACATTTAATATTAGTACCAAAATGTTAAAGTTATCTTTGTATAATTAAGTGAAGGTTTTTCCTCTTATAATTAAGTGACTACCGAGACCTTTATCTCCGACAACACGTATCCTTACGCGTTTTGGAAAAGAATGGGTTAATGCCACAACATTCCCTAAACTTTTAACTTTTGTTTATAAATCAAAGTTGTTCCAATATTACCTCCAGAGACCACCAAAGGATTGTCTCATATACCGTCTTAAGATTCCATTCTTAGGATGATTCAAACAACCAAGTCCCTTTAATATGTATTACTGACACATGTCCAATACCACTCTGTCCATATCAAAGGTTTTTAATTCCTTTCCCCGTCCTTTCTTCTCAACTTATGATTACTTACTAGCTGCCCAACTTGACCAATACATAGCACTTTATTGTTTATTTCGTTATTGATTTTTTTTTTTTTTTGATTAACTTTATTGATGTTCTCTCTAAGTTCAACTTAAAAAATTCTTTGTTCAATTGAGGCCACCCAATTCTAATCCTCTGGAACCTTCCCAACTTGTCCAAAGTAAAGCATTTCTCGGTCAATTGGCTTGGCTTCTCAAAGCTAGAAAGCATCCAAACGTTTCTTCACCTGCAAAAGCAAACCAACCATCTCAATTACATTAATTAATAATCACTAATAAAACAAATACTTTTAACCAAAATAAGACTCATCTGTACCAGCTAAACAAGTGTGCCCAAAAAATAAAATAACATCTATAGAAAATTTGTCCGTGTCAAAAGCGTCTAGGCTTTAATATAAAAATCATTCAATATAATAACACCTATATATAAAATTAATTTATTAATCTAATTTAATGATTTATTCTTCACATTTATTGAATTGTTCAATCTAATAATTATAATTAATTAAGTTAACAAAACAAAAAAGATCCAAATAATTGCTCCATTAAATTCACATCCATGAAAATCCTATTGCAAAACGCAAACAACACCCGGAAAAAAAATAAAATGGCAAGGGGTACACTTTAAATTTAGTGGAAGCCTAACGGTTAAGATCTCCTCACAAAGATATCAGAGGATTTGGGGGGATGGGGATTGCAACTGCCAAAATACCAAAGATCTCAAAACTCACCTGCTTTGGACAACAAATCCCAGCTCAGTGGCAAAATTCACACTAAAAAATTGAATCAAGAACATCCTCAAAAAACACTATACAATTAATAAACCAAAAAATCTTCAGATCAATCTTACTTTTTTTATGAATTGTTTATTTTCCTACTCTTACTGGCTGTTTTCCTGTATGAAATTTGATTTATTTGTTCATATACTGGAACTCTGGTTTTGTTGCGAGCGGGGGGACTTAATTTTATGGCTTTCTCATAGTTGAAGTTTTGTGGACTAGTGACAGTGACTCCATTGAGGAACAAGGTACGCATGCCTAGACCTCCCTTGTTGACAATCATAGCAACGATAGTAGCACCGTTGGGCCATCCGACTGCTTTTCTGACCATCGACCGCGAAGCCAATTGCCGGAGAGGAACTTCGGCTGCCGCAACGATATTGCTGGGGAAGAGAATGGACTCTGGAAGTTACACACGGCGGCGATTTGGAAGCAGAGGAAGTGGAGGAAATTGACAAAACAGGTGACGGAGGAAGAGAGATTGTTTTCAGCGGCTTGATCGGAAAAAGCACAGCCCTGATCTTCATCTCCGACTTCTCATCGAATGAGACTCGATCATACACTTCAATGACGTTAAAGAGGTCCTCATCGGAGGTTATCGAGACCAAGACGTCAAGATCTTCACTCGGCAATTTGCATCTCAAACTCGTGGAAGATCCACACAACTCTCCAAACTTCACTATTAGCTCTGTACCAAACAAATCACCCAAAACATCAAACATCAATTCAATTCCTCCAAATTTCCAAACCTAAATTCAAAATTAAATAAAAAAAAGTGCAAGATTAGCAAATAATAGCTCCAAATGACTGAATCAACTAACCTGTGAATGTGATTGAACGATCCACAGCGACAACTCGGGTGAATCCACCAACGTATCGGAGTTTCCCGTCGACCTTCCGAGGAACAATTTTGCCGCCGTAACTGTAAAGAAACTTGATCGTATTCGTCTTATTGTTCAAGGCACGAGTCATGATTCGAGAGAAAAAAAAGTAGAGAGAGCGAAGAAAGAGAGAAGATGCTTTTGAGTTTGGAAGCAGCTTCAACTAACGAGGGTTGTGGAGAGTCCGTATATATAGAGGGCTGCGTTGTGTGGAGTATTTTAGAGGAGAGAGAAGAGGGCCCGTTTGGGACACGCAAAAAGGGTATGGGTTGGGTGCGATGAAAGGGTAAGGAAGGAACCGGTTGAGGGATTCGGATATTCTTCTCTACTCTTTTTAGACTTTCGAGGCAAGAAAAGTAGCGGAAAGTGCGCCAATCAAGTTGCGATTAGTGGCAGTGGAGATGTGGAGCCCTTATGGGGTGCTCGACTCGTGGCTTACCGGATCGCTATGGGAGGTCTATGTGGCTTCGGTTTGGCAGATACTACAACGCTGTGTTTTAAGGGCTAGGTCCAAGCCCAACAAATCCCTCTTTCACCAACGAACCACAAACGGCCCAAACCGGCCTCTCTGCATTTTTGTGCTATTAGGGACCCACTCTAATTTTATTTTTTTCAATAATTAAGAATGTTCAAGGAATTTATGTACTTTTCAATTAATTTATTTTTCGATCTAATTAAAAGTAAATCATCTACATTAGGAAGCTCTGGTACCAAAAAATTGTCAAGTTTCAAACTTAAAATGTTTAAATTTATAGTTCATCTATATTATTATTTGAACTACTAATTGAAGTTGTACAGACCAAAACTGGTCGTCTGAAGTGACTTGATACGTTAAATAACTATTTATTTCAAAAATTTAAGTTATTGAAGATGGTGTAATATAAATATTTATATTTCAACATGTTCCCTCATATGCAGGCTAAATTTTTAGTCTAACACATGAAATTTTTTTAATAATTAAGATGATGACGAGATTCGAACACAGAACCTCTTGTTCTGATATAATGTAGAGTATAATTTAAATATTTATATTTCAACGTGATATTAGAAATATATTTTTGGTATTGAAGGGTCCTAATGCTTGGGTGTAATGTAACCCTAGCCCACCACTCCAATTCTAATGGTCCTTGATACAAACCGCACACCCGTGGCGACTATGTTTCATACCCTTGTAGGGCCGAAACATACCTGGTAGAAGAGGTCAAAGCTTGAAAAATCAGTGGCAATAGGTTCTAAACAAAAATATAATATTGACCTGTTTTATGAAGGATTGAACTTAGTGGAATGAAAGCACGTTTCAACATTCAAAGCCTCCCCACGTGAACTACATTACCCAAACTTTCAAACCTTAGAATCTTTCTAGGTCAAGGTTTATTGATTTGAAGAAATTGGTCGCCTCCCCTCCAAGAGAATATTCGATATTAACCATTATATCAAGTCAACAGTAACGTGTAGTGCAATTATTTACTAACAAGTATGTAAGTGAGTCTCATAAAATTAAATAACTATACATTTATGATATAAAACAAGATAGATTTTAATAAGTTTATTCGACGGTCTTAAATAGGCTCATCCAACGACCACCAATATCTCTCTTAAAATCATTCATATTACACCGTATTTTCATGTACGAGTTGTTCCAAGTCCATATAATATACATAATAACCTCTATGTGAAAAAATGAAATCTACTTTATCAATTTTTTTTTTACTTTTTTATTAGATAATTACACACATGAAATTACTGATGTGGTCTCTTCCGGACTTTTTTGCGCATGATAAATAATTTGATCATACGTGAGGAAAGAAAAGTTGTTTGATCAATCAATAATATGTATGATTTTTCCATTTACTTGTTCTTTGTTGAATATGCGCTTAAATTATTGATTATTCAATGAATTGAGTTGAAATTTCTCAACATTAAATTGATCAAAGTAGTTCGAAACTAGATGCAACTTAAAAGATTTGACATTTGCAATGACTAATTGAATGAGTCTCCCTCGAATAAAATGTTTCAGTTACGCCACTTTTTAGTTTCACTCCAAATAGAAAATGTCGTACCGTCCCTAAATAAGCCGAAATATTCATTACAACCGTAATGTAAAGTTAACATCGTCACGTGGTATCACTAATTAATAATACGTAAATAAATAAGAAAATAAATCCTACATAAATTAGTAATTACTCGTTCATGTAAGTCAATAACTTTTTATTCACCCTCTATATAAGCCAATATCTACTAAATTAGGGTTCAATTTGTCTATTTAACGTCTTATTATTAATTGATTATACAATACGACAATACTTGAGATATCGTTGCATTGAATATTTACTCATAGATAGTGGGATTGTACTTCGGCTGTGAAACCTTTTCTTAAATGGTTAGTATTTTTGGCAACTTCTGATGTCCAACTCTGAGGACTGTGGCCCAGACCGATCTTGCATACAGAAGCCCAGTCCAGCAGCAGCATATGATGTGTCACTAATAACAATTAAGTCCAAATTGAATTGGGCCCTGAAATCATAGTAGACTCTTTCTTCGTTTAGTTCGTTAGACAGTCATAAGTTCTTCCAATGGTCCTCTTCCTGTTTAAATTTGTCTAGATGGTTAGTGTTTGTAAGTCCAGTCTTTTGCAAGATGCTGCATGAATTACATCATAGTCTAAAATGAAAATTAGGAAGCTCGATAATGATGGTACCCCAAAAATGGCATTATAAGTAAATAAAAGGGGATCTAGACTATGGACCTTGAAAGGAGCTTACAGATGAGGTCTACTCCCCGCCCTTGCATCCAAGCATCCATCTTCGGAAGTAAAGCCAAGGTCACTTGCATACATCCTAAGTTAAAGGAATTCAGATAGACCAAGAATGACCTTAAGTGTAGTTACTTAGGTCAATTACGCGCGTGACGAGGAGACCACATCAGGAGGTTATTCCAATATAGTTCGACCTCACAACAGACTTTTCTAGAGACATGGAAGATCTTGATGCGTCTGAGCATAAAGAAAGATCAAGAGGCCACCTCAATATGGTTTAGAAGGTCATGTCACATTTAGGGAATGTAATCTCTAATAACTCAATATTTCCTCAACTAAATCTTAACAAACTTAGGAGTCATATAATGATAAAGACTTTGGTCTTATGATACTTCTTATCTTATAAAGATATTATTTTCTTGAGGTCAAGGGTTCAAGTCCCCCTCTTTCTCTCCCTTCCCTTTCCCTTTCCCTTTCCCAATAATAATAATGATAACATAGGGATCACCCCACTTGTGGTTATAAATACAAGGACCTTCACCATGTAAAAGGCTACTACAAAAATTGAATACTTTACAACCTGATGATGTTCGTAACACGACAAAGCAGAATGACGCATACACACCGTAGTGAATGGTTCAGTCTGAGCTCTAAGGCTCTTGGAAATAGGATAGAGCGAATGAGATTATCACACAGTATGTTTATAGTGATTTACAAGTTCAGAAGCTCAGCTAATCTACTTTTAAAAGAACCTCTTACTCTTGGGGAATATATTGATAAAAAGAGAATTTTACACTGAGTGTTTAAGTAAGCTAAGATTGCCCGTCCTTACTGCTGGGGTCATGTCCTCTATTTATAGTTGACCATGCGCTTCGCTTTATCTTTGGCGAAATCCTTGCTTCCCTTATAACAGTTGCTTTTATTAGACTATAACTAAGGTGAGTGGCTGGTGGTTATGAACCTTTTGCCTGGATAAACGATTGTCGTTATCATGGCGATGTTTGGTGGGGGCCAGCTGTCTTTTATGCTGCCTTTCCTGAGATGCAGGGAGCTCGAGGTCTGACGCCGAGGTCTATGAGCAACTTAAATGAACTGAATTCCCGACCTAAGAGAACATGACTTGCGTTATCGAACTCAACCTTAGGTGTGTTCGAGGTAACATTATAACCTATCATCTTTTCCAAGTAATATATAATCCCCTAAAGAGCAAGAGTAGATTAGTCAAGCTCTTCAGTTGCTGAACACTATAATCCCTATGTTCTAGCTGTGGTCATAGCTCGTCTCATAGTTCAGACTTTACTGTAGTGTTAGGCAGAGCCATCAGGTTCCTCCTCAGGATATCGTCTTCCTTCCTGTTCTCTCAAAATTCACTTTTACAAGCCTTAAGCTCTTCAACTTAAGCATTCTGTTCACACCTCGAGTTTGCACATCATCAAATAAAATTATTTTTGCTAGAGCTGTTAGAATTTTTCTTATATTGAACTTCCATTAATTGAAAGTTAATTTTAATTTTGTGAAAAGTGGGTTGAATTTATAGTCCAATGAGATAAGTTAAATATTATTAAGTCATCTATTTTGATGGACTTATGTACATCTTTTAATTGATGTGGTTAAGTGTAAGCCTTAATTTAATTGTGACATGTAATGAGAGAGTCCATTAGATTTTATTATAAATAGCAGGTTAGGTCCCATCTGCACTGCATAACCCTAATTTGACTTGTGTTATTGAGAGTCGTCTATTGCTTTGAAGAAGGAGAGGAAGACCTTATCATTTCATGAAAGAAATCTGGAGATCAAATATCATGGCTCATACAGGTATGTTCTAAAACTTGTATATGATCTAAATCTTGAATTTAGGAATTCTAAATTTCATATACGAATTATTAAAATTTTTTACATGTGGTATCAGAACTTATCGTATATGAATTTAGAACCCAACAAAATTTATTTTATATTTTTATTCATATAATTTTAGAATTTCAAAACTATTTTTTATGGTATTAGCGACACCAATTTTTTATCAACACACAGTGTTGAATGACACCGTCGCCAACAATTCTGATCGTCTTTGCCATTCAAAACAAAGTTACTACACTTTTTCAAGGAAAAAAAAATGGTGAAAGCATATATGCATGGCGGCCAGTACCTCGCAAGAAGGGAAAAAAAAAAAGGAAAAAGGTGAAAGCTTGGATGGTGGCTAGTACGACACAAGTAGAAGAAGAAGAAAAAAAAAAACAAGAAGGAAAAAGGCCAAAGCAACCATGATGTTTTAAAGATTTAAAAATTGGTGGCTATTTTATTTATTTAATTTATAACATTAACATCAAAATTTGCAA